CTGATATATCTCCTCAGGCAAGGGAAATACAAGAACAAATAAACAAATGGGACCTACATCAAACTAAAAAGTTTTTGTACTGCAAAGGAAACCATCAACAAAATAAAAAGACAACCCACTGAATAACAGAACATACTTGTTGATATATCTGATAAGGTGTTAATATCCAAATATATATAAAGAACTTATAAAACTCAATACCAAGAAATTATACAAAATCATCCACTTCTAACACTTTAGTTCATGCCATCATCATGTCTAAATTACTGCAATAATTTTTCAATGCTTTCTTTGCTTGCTTATTTATCTCCCTTTAGTCAGACAGTACTATTCTCTGCTCAAAACTCTCCAGTTGATTCTAATTGTCCTTAGAACAAAGTATATCATTCTTTGTAGTCTTATAATCTACAAGTTGGCATGTATATGCTTTGATCCCTACTTCTCTGAGCTTGTATCATATTATGCTTCTTCTCTCCCACTATACTTAACCTATACTAGTCTTTTTAGAAAATATTGAGCTGTTCTAGCCTTAAAGTCTATGCACCAGTTGTCTCCCCTGACCTTTGTACGGATAGCTCTTGTATTCCATGTAGCAGCACAAAGCTGTTCACAGAGAGGCTTCTGAGATACTCAGTCTTTAGTGATACTCTGCCTCATTGCTATCTTTTGCATCACCCTGTTTACTATGTTTCCCCAAGAAAGTGTATGCTCCATGAGAACACATTCCTTTTCTGTTCACAGCTATATGTCTAACACCCAGAATTGTGCAGTGACATAAAACAGGTGCCTAGTAATATTTCGAATAAATGAATGAAAAATAGATATGAGGTGGAAAAACCAAAATGTCTATCAAGAGGCTATTGTAATGGCCCACATAAGAGAAAAAGATAGACTGGATCAAGACTGGCAGTGGGAAATCAGAAGAGGACGGATAGAGACCAAGGAGGCAGGTGGCCAGAAGGTGGTGCTAACTGTCTATGGAGAAAAGTGGGGTTGATCTCCCTACACCTCACCTGGTAACATCCCATATTACCTCTCTTTCATTTCCTGTAATTTACATTTTTTTATGATGATAAATGCCTGGACATCTTTTTTTCATGTTGAAGACTATGCTGTATTTATACACACACACAGATATACATACAAATATATGTTCTTTGTAGAACACTACTTAATTTCTTTAACATTTTTCAGAGACCTAGTGTTCTTTTTTTTTATAACCTTCATGGCTCTCAACTAAGCCCTCTGTGAAGTCTCAACAATGACCATAATGGCCCTTCAGGCTTATATCTGGGCCTTCATTACCTTTATCCTGACAGAATGATTCATTCATACATTTTTTAAAAATAGTGATGATAGCTTATTTGTGAAAAGACACAGTTGTCTAACTCTGAAGAACTCAAATCTGGCAGTGGGAAAGTTGAATTATTAAAAATTTAAAAATTTAAAAAACGCCCTGGCTCAGTAGGTTAGAGCATCAGTCCTGTACACCGAAAGGCTACAGGTTCAATTCCTGCCTAAGGCACACGCCTGGGTTGCGCGTTTGGACCCTGGTCAGATCACACATGACAGGCAACTGATCGATGTTTCTCTTGCATCCATGTTTCTCTCCCTCCCTTCCCCTCTCTCTAGGATCAGTGAGCATGTCCTCAGGTAAGGATATCAAAACAAAAAATTTTTAAACAGATCAAGGCAACAGTTTGATAATTGCTTTAATAGCAGTAAACCCAAAGCCCCAAAGGAGAATACAGGATGTTTAGACATTTACAATTTACTCTTCAGTAAACCATAAGTTTTTCCTCTTAAAAAAACAGTTTCTGCATGTTTTTAGGTCTGAACACATTTCTCCTTTATTAATAACCTTTAGTTCTCCTATATTAAAAATTTAAAGTGGAAACAATTACATACATGAACTGAGACCTGGCTTCATCTAATTTTGTGGCTAAATCTCCCCTCATTTCTCCATTTACCATGCACTACAATAGCTAATATTCGAAATGACATTAAGTTTTGCAAATTTTGCTTGTATTATTTCCTGTCTTTGAAATGCCTGAATTCCACTTTTTTTAATTGTAAAATTATAATAATTATCTTTAAAGGCCCAGCTCTAATGCTAGTCCCATCAGAAAGGCAGTCAAAATTTTTACTAAATTATAATTTTTCTTATATTTCTACTTAAAATTCTTGTTTCATTTTCATTTATCACAGCTTTTTCTTTATATACTAGCTTCCTCATTAAATTATAAGCTGCTTGAGAGGAGGAGGTCATATACTATTCATTCTGTATTCCCGCACTAGGGTTTGAATAAAGTGGGTACAGTAACTGTTGACTTACGGCCTGTGTGCTGGATCCTCGATCAATGGCTCCTAAATAATCATATATATATCACTGTATATAAGTGTATACATGTGCATTATATAATAATTACATGTAAATAAAAATAGGATTAGATGTAAATATATACATATAAAATGTGTGTGTGTACATATACACAATATACATCTACACCCATGTAAACATTATTCTTGTTTTCTTATTTCACTGTAGACCAGTGATAACTTTGTCACAGACCATCACACTAACCTATCATGCTCACTGACACTCTTAGGTCATAGGTTGCTAAACTTGCATATAATATTCAACAACTATTTTGCTCCCATATTGCACTGGGAACAGTACTAGGTGCTTTGAATACATTATCTTCATCATTACCACAGTTCTATTACTCCATTTTATTTAGCTCAGAAAGATAAATCACTTACTTCCCTGTGAGCATATATCTAATGTATGTTATATAAAATTTAAATTAAGATTTGCCTGGATCCAAAATGTCTCTTCTTTCCATGATGCTATACTCCTCAACAAAACCTAACCATTCTTGCCTTTCAATGATTCTCCAGTTATTCTAAATTCCCAGTCTAATTTTCAGAGACTAGCTATCTACCCAATACTCCCCAAAATACTGTCCTTCCCAAAGTTAAAAAGTGTGTTCCTTATTCTACCATCCATACTAACATAAGTGAACTACTGCTATGGCTGAATGCTTGCCACTCCCAAATTCACATGTGGAAACACTAATACCCAATGTGATGGTATTTGGAAGTGGTGCCTTTGGGAGGTCATTAGGTCATCAAGGTAGAGTCCTCTGGATCCTTATAAAAATAAACATAAGAAAGATAATCTCTCTCTGCCATATGAGGTTATTATAGTAAGAAGGCTGCTGCAACAAACCAGAACGTGGGCCCTCACCAGAAATGGATTAAGTCAAGGGCCTTTATCTTGGACTTCCCAGCTTCCAGAACTGTGAGAAATAAAGGTCTATTATTCAAGCCACCCAGTCTATGGTACTTTTCGCTATAGCAGTCTGAACTAAAACAATTACCAATATGAACATTTCCTGTTGATCTAGTAAAACCATGCAAGATACAGGCAAGATACATTCACCATAAATCTGAAAGAAATTTTATTATAACCAATAATTTAATGAAAACAGAGTATGCTAAAATGGTGTTTTTTTAAATTAACTAATTATGATGCTATAAAAATGAAGATCTGGGGAATACTTGGATACAAGTCTAACAGATTTTAAAAAATTGAGCAAGATACCAAAGCATACAACAAAATATGTATTATGATAATTATATACTAACCTGTGATTATATATAACAACACATACAAAGGGTAGAAAAATTTGTCTATGCTTGTTTGTATTTTTAGAAAATTACTTTTATAAAGTGGCATAATAATAATTATAAAAACAGTAGTCAATGTAAAATATCTATTTATAGAATCAATATTCTTATCATAGCTATCTTTTAATTATATGACATATTTTATTTGCTCTACATAGCAGGGATTTTACCTCCCTCTTCTCCATGGAACACTTAATATGCATGTACCAAAGGTGGGGAAATGTTCATTTTGTTCAAATAACAGGTATGGTCCATTTTTATCAACTCTTAATCTGGACAAGTATTAAAACATTTAAAATCAAAACAGATGCTTTAAACAGATGCTAAACCTATTAGAATAGGTTTAGAACTGAAAGCCATGATGATAACTTAAAATATCAAATGATTTACAACTATATAAAATCTCCCCTGCTGAATTTTTAAAAAATACCTAATTTGTGATTTTTGTTCTTCATTATTTTCCCTTAATAAAAATAATTTATTTTTAAATTCCTTTAAAACTCTCTAGAAATTGTATAAAATTCATTAGAAATGTTATACTAATAGGCATTCTCTTAATAAGTGTTAGTTATATGTTAATTTACAAAAAGGTCATTTTATGTCTATCAGACAAATGATTAGTTCTAGAATTTTAAATACAAATTATCTGACAATGGTTATACCAAATAAGAATCTGGACTTAGATCTTTTTTCTTTTTTCTTGAACTTATTGGGGTGACATTGGTTAATAAAATTATATAGGTTTCAGATATACAATTCTACAATACATCATCTGCATATTGTATTGTGTATTTACCACCCCAAGTCAAGTCTACTTCCATCACCATTTATCCCCCCTGTACCCTCTCTACATCCATCCCCCACCCCTTTTCCCTCTGGTAATCATCAGACTGTTGTCTGTGTGGAGTTATGTCAAAAAATTAAAAATTGGACTGCGTTATGACTCAGAGATACCACTTTTTAGAATATATCTGAAGAAACCTGAAATACTAATTTGAAAGCATATATACACCTCTATGTTCATTGCAGTGTTATTTACAATAGCCAAGATTTGGAAGCAGCCCAAGTGTCCATCAGTAGATGCGTGGATAAAAAAAGCTGTGGTGCATTACACAGTGGAATGCTACTTGGCCATAAAAAGATGGATTTAGATATTTAAATATATCATTAAGTACTTTAATACATTTAACTTAGAACTATGTTAAGCATATATAAATTTTCTTTGTTGCAATTCATCTGTTTAATTATCATATTACCTTAATTATAAAGTTTTTCTTCCCATAAAAAGGAAACAAACATATCACTACCTTTTGTGAAACAGCAATTTTAACTTCTCCTTGGAGTGCTTCAATTTGCTTTTTCCTCTGTTCAGTCCATTGCTTTAGCTCATTTATGTTCTCCTGAAGTTGTTGTTCTTCTTTTTCCTTTTGTTTTAAATTATTCTGGGCCTGTATGAGTTGTCCCTGAACTGAATGGAGTTCCAACTTCAACTGATGAGAAGTCTAAAAGAAAAAATCTCTTCAATCATTTAAGTAAAATGAATAAAATCATTTCATTCATCAAACAAACATTTACTGAGTACTACATGCCAAGCACTATTCTAGGTAGAAATTACTGAGCCTGTTGGCCACAGGTAATTAGTAATAAAACAAAACAAAACAAAAAAATCCTCACTTTCATGGAACTTTCATAATTGACACTATTCAGTATTAGATGACATAATGGATTAATCTTCAATATTTGTTTAATCCTAACTTCCATTTAAATTTATGCTTATGTACTTAGGTAGAGCTTATAAATGAACTAGACTAGTATCCCTTTGTGTCATAGAAAATAAAAATATCAACATCACTCTTTAGACTGCCAAAGGCCTAATGTCTTTCTAGAATATTCTCAAAATGCTGAGACTGCTGCTCATGGTTAATCAGAAAGAATAACCCCATATTAACTATGATAGAAATTAAAATCACTTTTGGCAAATATGTTTAGTATCTGTCTGATGATGCTGAAATATACCACTCAATAGTTTCCTTATTTAGAGAAATTGGACATATTTTGTTACTTACTATCTTATTTTTACAATCTACTATCATATATTTCTATTCAAAATTTTATATATATATATAAAAGGTTCATATTGAGGTTTCTCTGTGGCCAAAGTGAACTACTGCTACCTCCCACCCTTTCAGCCAAAGTCATGTTTTCATGCCCTATGTATATTTCATTAAGATACTAATTTGAGCATTTGAACATATTCAACATTACAATACTTTTTAAAATAAGTATCAGTACTACATACAGATACTCCAGATATTTCCAATGCAAAGGAAAACATTTTTTGTGTAAAATAAGAGTCAGGTAAAGTAACAATAATGATGATTATACTATGATAAGCACTAATAAAATAATAGCAAACATTCAGCATTTATTTTGTTCTAAGCACTTTAAAATATATTAACCCACCTATTTCTGGCAATCATCCTATCACATATATTTTATTATTAGCCCCATTGTACTGCTGAGGAAACTGGAGCAAAGAGAGATTAAGTAACCTGCCTAAAACAAGGCAAGACAGCAAGGCTAATCAATGGCATAGCCAGTAAATATTTCTGGACAATCTAGATTCAGAGCTTGGCTACTAAGCCAACATCATTTCATATTAAAGACTTGTCAGCAATCGGTTTTGCTGCTTTATCAAATCAGATCTCTAAAAAACTACATGTCTGAACAATAGTTGTTAGACGTATGTCTTCAGTAAATAACAACCTTATGTTAAAACAATTTATTTATTCATTTACTTGTTTGTTCTTGAAAGACAGCAACTGAAGCATTAACCATAGGGAAAACAAATCTCTTGATTATTATTCAACCATTAACAAATACACCATTAATATAAATGTCCATGAAATAAAGAGCCCTTAGAAGGTCATTTCCATGGAAAGTCTATAAAGATTTTCCCAACTATAATAATGTTCATTAATTTAGATTATCTAACTATAACTCAATAGTTAGTTGACTCACTCTGCCACCTTTATTAATGATAATCCTCAATTTTGGGCCTTTTATTATAAACTGACAAATTTTTAAGTAATAGGTAGAACATAAATTTTTAGTTTTAAAATGTATATATATGTATAATGTATTATAAATGTATAAATATATACATAAAGGTATAAATGTATATAAAATGTATATATAAATATATATACAAATTTTTTAGTAATAGTAGTACACTAACAAATTTTTTAGTAATAAGTAGAACATAAATTTTAGCTTTAAAATGTATATATATAATGTATATATAAATGTATAAGTATATGTAAATGTATAAATGTATATAAAATGTATATATAAATATACCACATTTCAGAGAAATAAACCTTCCTTAGACTTAAATATCACCTTAAAATACAAAGATCTTTTATACTTTACATACTTCATGTAATAAAAAAAAATATTACCTCTTTCTCTTTTTCAAGTGACTTTTTCAGTTCATTCTGTTCCTTAAGTGTGCTTTCCATCTGGACTTGAAATTGATGCCTCAATTCTTTGCAAGTTTTTTCCTAAAAAAAATGGAAACTACATTGTTATGCAGAAGATATTTGTAGTAAGTTTAAGAAGTTTGGTTTATAAACATAAAGATCCACAGAAAGAAATAAACTAGAATCATTGGTGTTTTAAGATGGGATAGACTCACTTTGATTATAAAACAAGCACATAGTAGAGCAGTAAAGGGAGAGACAGGGAAAGGCTAAGAGTTTCTATCATCAACCAACAGTCACAATAAATATTTTAGATAATATTTAGGCAATACTTTAGAACACTTTTATGTCACAATGTTAATTATAATTAACTTGTCATGCAATTTTTAAAGTAGAATAATAGGCTTCAAAAATGGAAGCATGAAATTTTTTTAACAAAAAGTACTAAAACACTAAATAAAAAATGATCACAATTTAAGAGGGAAGATATACTGATAAAAGATGTTTTTACCAAACAGAAAGGAACATAAAGTTAACATATTAACATCGTGTGTTTTTCATACTACTAAACATTTTCCCCAATTTTCATATGGAGAACAAAAGGACTTTACTTTCATTGTTATCCTATGTTAAAATATTTCTGAGAATTCCTCTTTAAGCATTTTGAAACTGCAAGACTTTTTTCCTCTGTAGTTTACATAGGTTTTATGGCATCTCTAAAACGTGGAATAGTGATGGTTTTAGAATATTCAATAAGTATTAGAAAGTTTACAGTACCAGAATTAATAGGAGTCATCAAGATCTTTCTAGACTTTTTTCTTTCTCAGACATGTGAATAACATTTCAATTAGCAGCTCTGCTGTCTGTGGAACTGTGCCTGAGAACAAACCTGACGCAGTCTCTCCCAAAACTCACATCATACTAACAAAGGAGTAAGATGGTGTATTCAACCAGAAACTTCCTGGGTCTCTGGAAAACTACACATGCACGTGACAAGATCTTTTTCCGGTTAAGCTCCCAATTCCTTTCCTCATAAGAACTATTTAAATTATTCAATTGTAAAATCAAAAGTCAACAGTGAATTAAGTAGAAAAATCACTACTTTTTAATTAAAAATCACTCTACCTAAGAAAATAAATGTAAACAACTAACCAAATCTGATATAGTAGCCATTCCTTTCTTATTTTCCTTTTCAAATTCACTTTTGGAATTCTTCAAAGTATCAGAAACTTTTGATAATTTCTCTACTGTTTCAGAAAGCTCTACCATTAGAGTTTCTTTCTCCATCTTCACTTTTTGTAGTTCTGTTACTGCTGTTTGAAATTTGTTACTCAATTCCTTGTGCTGAATCTCTGCATCTTGACTCAAATTTTCAATTTCTTTTTTAAGAATTACTTTTTCTTCCTCTTGCTTGGTAAGCATTTGCTTAATATTTTCAAGGGCTTCAGATTTTTTCTGTAGGTCCGATTTTGTACTGGATACTCTAAATAGTAAAAAAAAAAAAAAAAAAAACAATTTTTTAAAGAACAATGTATAATTTACCTTTCTTAATTTACCACTCAAAATGAATGACTATTGAGTTTTAAAACTTTCTTGTGTAGTTAAGTAAAAAAAAAAACACACACAACTTAATGTCCACAATCAAAAAATGTCTCAAAATATATGATATGATCATTGAACAGACAAAAATGATTTTCTTCAAGTGAAATAAGATAGTAGTAAAGCCAAGAGCATCTAGCTTAAGCCTCCTGACTTAATTCAGTCTTACCACAATGGATCCAAAAAACCCCTGCACATAAAAGACCCTCTAGTATAAAATAGCCAAAAAAGTTTTTCCATGTACCTTACAGAACAGATTTATTGTGTTATCTTCCAAGTATATAGAGAACTTTGCCTCTTTTCTTTAAAACATAAAATATATAATATGTTTGATAGGTCTTAAACTTCAAAACATGTAAGGTTAACCCAGGAAAAAAATTAATTAAAAAAACAAATATTTCATTTTAAACAAAGAGGAAACACAAGAGATGCACTTTAAGTCTAGAGCTTATCAGATTATACAAGAAATGCTGTCATTTGTCCCTAACATAACTTTTCTACTCCTGAATAAATAAACTACAATAATGAGGAAATGTATATATAACTTTAGGAAAATTAAAGTTTTATTGTTTTCATACAAGAAATGAACTACATATATATTTATATATTTATGTATATATATGTATATGTGTGTATTTCTAAATATATCACCAAAAAACAAATATTAAATATCAACCATTTTCTACACTGAAAATAATACCAGATGCTAGGTAATATTTTTTGGAATGCACATGATTTCCAATGTACTTTATAATCATTACAAACTGAATAAGATGTTAAGGAGAGGTTGTAAAAGATGTACTAGCCACATATTTGAAGTCAGGTATGAATACAATACCAGAACTTTGAATTTTTCCAACATTTAGTCCCAGAAACTTACTTTTACTTCCTAAATAAAGCTAAAAAAGATGAAGTTAAGTACACTCATAGGATACTGTACCTCACTGATTTTAAAGATCTAAATAGAAAAGTCATTATACTAATATTATTTTATCATTTTAATATAGTTAAAACCCCAATTTAAAAAATGTAAAATTAAAAGTTGACATATTTATTTACTATGCTACTGAACCTTTCCATAAATAATTATTATAAAATAAGATTATGTTAAAAAAGAGGTAAAGAGACATAAAGGCTTGCAGTCATTATAAAGTTGTTTATTTCTTTAAAGTTCCTAAAGCAATAAATAAATCCATAATCCTAGGTGGAAACTTTAATACCTTTTTCTCAGAAATTTATAGAATAACCAGAGGAAAAAAACTGGTAAAATAAGATTAGAACTGCATTATCAACCACCTTGATCTAACTGAGATTTATAGAACACTTTACCCCAAAACAGAGTACACACATGTGCACATGAAAAATTAACCAAGATAAACCATACACTGGTCCAGAAATAAGACAGTCTGAAAAGTCTCAATTTTACATAATATTAGAAATCAATAATATAAGAAAATAAGCCTTCTAATATTAGAAAATAAATTATATATATATATATATATATATATATATATATATATCACCCAAACATAAAAGAAGAAATCACAAAGGATATTAGAAAATACATTAAACTTCACTGTAATGAAAATATATTGTACAATGTCAGTTGAAGAGAAAGAGCTGGATGCTGATGGGCCCTGAGCAAGGGGAGCTCTGGACCTGGTTATTTAAGATGAGCCCTGGAATCAGGAGGAGGTTTGGTCAAACCTGAGATATGTTTATCCAGCTCTCCATTTCTAGTACTCTACACATAAGAAATGTCTAAATAAAGTATGTAGGCAAAAATGATTTTAGTGCTTTAGAAAAATGTTTCACTAACCCAATATGATAGAGAAGCCACTGAGTGAGTTCTGAACCATGAGAATAGAACACAGAATGGAAATGGACCCGTTTGCATTGAGTCCACTAAAAATGAAAAGAAACTAAAGGCCCAGGGGTATTGGAAAAGAGAAGAAGAACCAAAACAGAGGTGATCTTCACAAACCAATGACTGGGTTCCAGAGGTAAAGAATAATTCAGTTGGTGATAAAAAGGTTCAGATGTGTTCCCCAAATACATTGGCAATGGAAACTATGATGCCAGCAGTGAGAAGAAATGCCATTTGAGGCACAAAATGTAGCTATATCCTCAAATTCAAAGTATCAGGACCCAATTTAATACATGTGAGAACAAGAAATTTCTCAGCCCACAGCCAACATCATACTCAATGGTCAAAATGTTCAAGTGTTTCCCTTAATATCAAGAACAATAAATGGATGTCAGATTTCATCACTCTTATCCAACATAGTACTGGAAGTTTTAGCCACAGCAATCAGAAAAAAAAAGAAGAAATAAAAGGCATCCAAATTGGAAAGGAAGAAGTAAAACTGTTATCATTTGCAGATGACATGATACTATATAGAGAACCCTAAAGGTTCCAACAAAAAACTAAGAACTGATAAATGAATTCAGTAAAGTAGCAGGTTACAAAATAAATATCCAGAAATCAGTTACATTTTTATACAGCGATGAGGATCAGAAAGGGAAATTAAGAAAAAAATCCCATTCATAATTGCTTCACGGAAAAATTAAATGCCTAAGAATAAATTTAGCCAAGGATTAAAATGATAAGATACTGAAGAAAAAATTAATAAGTGGAAATACATACCATGATCATGGATAGGAATATTTTAATAATCATGAAAATGTCCATACTATCCAAAGTAATCTATAGTATAGATTTAAAACAATTTGCATCATAATGGCGTATTTCACAGAACTAGAACAAATACTCCAGGATTTACATGGAATGACAACAGACCTCGAATAGCCATAGCAATCTTGAGGAAAAAAAGAACGAATTTAGAGAAAGCATGCTACCTGTTATCAAACTGTATGACAGGGCCATTGAAATCAAAACAGCATGGTACTGGCATAAAAACATACATATAGATCAAAGGAACAGAATATAGAGCTCAGAAAAAAAACACATCTTTATAGTCAATTAATATTTGACAAAGGAGGCAAGAACATACAGTGGGTTAAAGCAGTCTGTTCAATAAATGGTACTGGCAAAATTGGACAAACACATGGAAAAAATGAGACCACTGCCACGCACAAGAATAAATTCAAAGTAGTTTAAAGACTTAAATGTTGGACCCCAAACCATAAAATTCCAAGAAGAAAACATAGGCAGTAAAATCTCAGGCATTTCTCATAGCAATGTTTTTTTTCTGATGTGTCTCCTTGAGCAAGGGAAGAGAATAAAATAAACAAATGGGACTACATCAAAACAAAAAGGTTCTGCACGGCATAGGAAACCATCAACAAAATGAAAAGGCAATCCACTGAATGAAAGAACATAAAGAACATATTCAACTGATACATCTGATAAGGGATTAATATCCAAAACTTATAAAGAACTTGTAAAACTCAACACCAAAAAACCAAACAATTCAATTTAAAAATGGGCAAAGGACCTGAACAGACACTTCTCCATAAAGGGCATACAGATGCTCAACAGACATATGAAAAATGCTCAAGTCATTAATCATCAGAGAAATGCAAATTAAAACCACAATGAGATATGACTTCATATCTGTCAGAATGGCCATCATATCACTAAATCAACAAACAACAACTGTTAGGGAGGAAGTGAAGAAAGGAGAAGAAATCTTTGTGCACTGTTGGTGGGAATGCAGACTGGTGCAGCCACTAAGGAAAGCACTATGAAGTTACCTAAAAAAAAGCCTTATGACCCAGAAATACTACTTCTTGGGAATTTATCCAAAGGAACATGAAACAATCATTTGAAAGAATATATGCACCCCTATATTCATTGCAGCATTATTTACAGTCGCCAAGATACCGAAGTAGCTCAAGTGCCCATCAGTAGATGAGTCAGTAAAACAGCTGTGATACTTTACACACTAGAACACTACTTGGCTTTAAAAAAGAAAGAAATTTTACCCTTTGCAACAGCATGCATGGACCTGGAGAACATCATGTTAAGTAAAATAAGCCAGGCAGAGAAAAACAAATACCATATGATTTCACTCAGATGTGGAATCTAATGAACAAATTGAACTAATAAGCAAAATAGAGACACACTCACAGATAGAGAGCAGGCTCTGGGGGCTGAGGGAAGTGTGAGTTGTGGAAGAACTGAGCAAAAAAGAAAAAGAATTCATGGACACAGACAACAGTGTGCTAACTACAGTGGGAAGAAGGGTCGGTGGAGGTGGAAGAAGGTATAAGGAGGATAAATAGTAATGGGAAAAATACAATAAAAAATAAACTATTAAAAATAAAATAAATATGCTCATAAACATAGACAATTTGCCAAAATGCATCAAAAGCTAAAATAGATAATTTCTTACCACAAAGTATTTATTCCTACTTTGTACTGTGCCTCAAAGCAGCAGCCTTGCTGTTCTTGGGTGATTATATCTAAACACCCTTCTATGCTTTTAATTTATATTAACTTTTACAAATTGGTGAACAACTAAAAACAATTGCTTTAACCCAGAGACATCAGTACCACATTACTGTTAACAACTCAAATTTTCAGCAGTGAAGGTAAATTTAATCTATTATGATGGCTTTACTTTTTCATTTACATTAATATCGGCTGTTTATAAAATCAACACAAATATTTACTAAATCTTTAAGCACTGTTTTAGCAAAATTAAAATTTTAAAAATTATAATACTTAAATATAATCTTTCCCCTTAAGCAGTTAAGCTTACATTTCTTTCTCCATTTCCAGTTGTTTAGTCAACTCTGTGGCTCTAAGTTCTAAACCTGTGTTCAGCTGTCTTTGCTGTTGCAGCTCCTGCGAAGTTTGCTCCTTGCTTGCTTTGACTTCAAGAATATCAGCTTCTAGTTTCTATGGAAGAAATAATATAGTAACCATTTCAATGTCAAAAATTATTTTAAATATTGTAATATTTTTGTTTTATATTTAAATTGCTGTTGACATAACACAAAAAAGCCATAAATACTTGTTTAAATAAAAAATACATTTGAAGCCATTAATGAGTAAAGGAGCCACTTATCTTAAAATATTTCAGAGGAGCTAGCAGCAGGTTTTACACACGATAGTCACTAAGTTATTACTTTTTAAATGATCTGAAAGAGACTAAACTTAAAACAATTATATTTATAATGGGTAAAAATTACTAATTCAAGTATGAAAAATAACTAAAAACTTCACATACAGACCCACTTAAAACCTATTGTCCTCTGTATTCACAACACTGATGTTATTACAGGTGTTCAAAACCAAAATGAAGCTGTCTTATCATCCTTCTCATAATATCTATTAATCCTAAATATAAAGCCAATTAAATTCCTGATTTTGCTTCTCTAGTCTCTTAGTGATCTACAGAGTGACCCTCGCAGTGCAGTTTCACTCAGACATAATCATATAACTGTGCATATTTTTACGAATTTCCAAAATCTAACTGTTAAGTATATAGGCTGAATGAATATCTATAAGCAATGTATTTTCTTATATAGTTGTGATAATTTTACACTCTATTTTATAAACTAATCTAGGTACCTGTGGCTCTTACTTGACATTTTTATTGGATATTTGATGTAATAATTTTATAACTATATATTGATATAAAACATATGGAACACTTTAAAATAATAATTATAAAATGTTAAAGATCTGATAAATACAATATATAGTACTGATTCTAAAATACTACTTTAAACGATACCCAAATAGAATTCTCATTAGCTATTTTTCAGTGAAATAGTTTTTTCTATGCTTTCAACTATTACATAAATTTGTCATTGTTATTACCACTGGCCATAAGGGAAAAAAATAAACCCATAAACAGAATTGTAAATGTAATTCTTTTTCTATGTAATATATATTGGTGTGGCTGTACATATATACATATATACATCCCAAGATTGTGAAATGGTTCTGAAGTGCTTCATTTGATTGTAATGGTTGACTGACTTATAAACTTGAGAAATTTTTGTTTAACTGTCAGTTCCAATTAAAAGAAAAAAGGACTCAGGTCAATTTCATCTCTGATATCTTTTAATTTATTCTCTTTAGTAAAAAATACTTTCACTCAGAGTTGTGTTAAAGAAGGAGGGTACCACAGAGTAAATTTATTATTAAATTAGAAACAAAATCCAAAGGGTATAAATGTAAAGTTTAAAAAAGGAAGATGTCTTATTTCACAGATGGAGAACAAACCTTTAAGAAATTTATATGGAACCATAAATGACCCTGAATAGCTGCTGCAATTTTGGGAAAGAAGAACGAAGCAGGAGGGATCACAATACCTGATACCAAACTGTATTACAAGGCCACTGTAATCAAAACAGACTGGTACTGGCATAAAAACAGGCACATAGACCAATGGAGCAGAACAGAGAGCTCAGAAATAAACCCAAGTCTCTACGGTAAATTAATATTTGACAAAGGGGAAGAAGCATAAAATGGAGCAAAAATAGCCTCTTCAACAAATGGTGTTGGGAGAGCTGGACAGCTACATGCAAAAAAAAATGAAACTTGATCACCAACTAACACCATACACAAAAAAAATTCAAGATGGATAAAAGACTTAAATATAAGTTATAACACTATAAAAGCCCTAGAGGAAAACATTGGCAGGAAAGTCTCAGACATTCCATGCAGCAACATCTTCATGGATACATCCCCTAGAGCAAGGTACATAAAGGAAAGAATAAACAAATGGGACCTCAGCAAATTAAAAGGCTTCCACATGGCTAAAGAAAAGAGCACTAAAATGAAGAGAGAGCCAACTGTATGGAAAAACATATTTGCTAGTGATACCTCAGACAAGGGCTTGATCTCCAAAATATATACAGAACTCATATGACTTCACTCCAGGAAGACAAAAAACCCAATTATAAAATGGGCAAAAGACTTGAACAGACATTTCTTCAAGGAGGACACACAGAGGGCCCAGAGACACATAAAAAGATGCTCAGAATCACTAACCATCAGAGAGATGCAATTTAAAACCACAATGAGATACCACCTCACACCAGTCAGAATGGCCATCATAAACAAATCAACAAACAGGTGTTGGAGAGGCTGTGGAGAAAAGGGAACCCTAGTGCACTGTTGGTGGGATTGCAGACTGGTACAACCACTGTGGAAAACAGTATGGAATTTTCTCAGAAAACTAAAAATGGAACCCAGCATTTCCACTGCTGCGATTATACCCTAAGAGCCCTGAAACACCAATTCAAAAGAACCTATGCACCCCAATGTTGATAGAAGCACAATTTACAATAGCCAAGTGCTGGAAGCAACCTAAGTGCCCATCAGCAAATGAGTGGATCAAAAAACTATGGTACATTTACACAATGGAATTCCACGCAGCAGAGAAAGAGCTTATACCCTTTCCAACAGCATGGATGAAACTAGAGAACATTACGCTAAGTGAAATAAGCCAGGTGGTGAGAGACCAATACCATATGATCTCACCCTTAACTGGAACATAATCAACAAAAGAAAAAAGCAAACAAAATATAACTAGAGCTGTTGAAATCAAGAACAATCTAATAATAGCCAGAGGGGAGGGGGAGGGGACAGAGATAAGAAGGGCTTTCAGAAACTACTATAAAGGACACATGGACAAAGCCAAGGGGGAGGGTGGAAGCAAGGAAGAGAGGTGGGCTTGGCTGGGGTGGGTGGGGAGTGGTGGGGAGAAAATACAGACAACTGTAATCAAACAACAATAAAATAATTTAAATTTAAAATAATGTAAAAAAAGGTAAATATCTAATATATCTCAATATTCTATTGGAATAAGGAGGTAAGGAAGTGGAAATAATAGAACAAAAGAGACTTTACAAGAACAAAAAAAAATTATAAGTTCCTTATAATTATAGGGTAGATCCCTGGTTGCGTGTCTCTTTGAAATACTAGTAACACATTACAATGGAAACAGTATATATGTTAACTACCATTTGTAAAAGCCACCATTAAAGAAGAAAATATGGAGCAAAGGTGGAATTCAAAATTAATACATAAAAATTACAAGTAATTTTTAAAAATTTTACATCACAACTTCCTCTTTGTTTGCAAATGTAAAATCTTTGATTCCATTCACTTTATCAGTTTCTATTGCTACAGCTGTAGAAAACATGGCTAAGTTCAATTTCTTTTATACAAACCTTAACTTGACTTTCTAATTCTTCGGTTTTCTGTTCTAAGGACAGGTGTTTCTCTTTATATTCTTTAAGATGACTTTCCAGCTGACTGCAATGCTCTTGCTTATCCTGCAACTTTGTAGTGACCTGATCCAACTGAGTAGTGATCTTGTTTAACTCCTATAGGGAAATATAATTAAAGAAAACTTTGGCAAGGTTTACTTTATTGTAGTGTCCAAATGTTTGGTCAAAGTAAAATTAAAACTCTAGTTTTATTTAACAAACTATTTGAAGTAAGATCGCAGGTAAGTCTAATGATTCAGAGCATAAATTTATCTACTGATATAAAGAATCTGAACTGAACTTGTGCACAGTGTGAGAGATTAAGTTTATACACATAACAACTCAGTAACTTTTTCCAGAAAGCCAAAAGATGCAAAAGAATAATAAACAAGCTAATAATAAAATAATGCTTTTATAATTAAATGTTTTCAATGTTCGAGTAGCCATCTCCTAAAATAACACTTTAAAAATAAATGATTACATCTACAATTGTTCAATTCATTTGGAATATCTTGTTACACAGAAAGAGCAAGATAAAAATTACTACTAGTAAATCCACCACCCACAGTTAACCACTATTAATGTTTTGATAACTTGTCTTTCTGTTAGTTTTTATTTTTTGACTTGCACGCTTATAATAAAAACAGGATCTCACTTTATATACTGTTGTACCGTAACCACCTTTGCTGTTACATAACAATGTACTATAAAACTGTAACATTTTCTAAAATATCATTATACTTGACTATATAAATTTCCATTTTATTGATATAAGCCATTTTTTATCCAAATGCCCTATTTTAGATTCCTAGATTGTGACTAAACTTTCTGCATTTATTAACAGAGATACAAAAGCATTCTTAAAGCTATTATAAGTCCCTTAAAATAACTAAGAGTGAACTACAATATATGAAAAATCCTAAAGTTCTTGAAATAAACTGCTATAGTTTCCCCTACCAGCATCAAAATACAGAACTGATTTATACAACTCACCAGCAATGCATGAAAGTGGCTTGTTCCTCTGCACCATCTCTAATCCTCTGAGTGTTAAACACATAGCTACACATTTTACCTCATAAGGTATATTCCATTGTTGTCTTAATTTGCAGTTGATTCTTAATGAACTTGCACATTTGCTAATAAAGTTTTGATCACTTACTTGTCATTAGGTTGGCTTATTTATTATGTAAAAGTGTTTTAAATATATAGGCTAGTAACCTTTCATCAGACATACTTCAGGAAATAATTATTTTGTTAATGGATTTAGGATTTTGTTACTAATGTTTTTGGCAGATAAATTGTAAACTTTTATGTGGTTATTCTTATAAATATTTTTTTCCATTATAGTTTCTGGCACTAATCTTGTGCTTAGAAAATACTTTCCAGATGTGTTTATCAACAATGTAAGTAACAAGCAAGTTGCAGAATAAATAACATATATAGTGATTCTATGTGCATAAAAGAAAAATATCTGTGTGTACATTCCATACCAAATTTAATAGCAAATATCCCATCTAAGAATTGGGAGTTTAGGGTAAATACAGAAAACAGTTTTGTTTTATTAACTTGATATGCTACTATATCATTTTTAAAAATTAGACCAACAGCTGGTATTACCTCTTAAATAAAATACAAATTTTAAAAATGCCTACCTAGTAAAAAAAATAAGAATAATCTACCAGCACTTTGACCTTGGCCCTAAGAAGGAAGCTTTTACTTTATCAGAGGTATTAGAAAAGAGGTATAGAAAAACTTCTATATTCCCTTCAGCCCCATTGACTTCTACTCCCAAGAAAAGACAGTAACTCTTATTATTGATATGGAATACATGTTGCTCTTTTCTGCTTCCAAGAGGTAAGAGTAAGTACTGGTATATCTGGTTTATGGCCCAAACTGTCTACTAAAAACATGCGTGCAAGTCTGTCTCTCTTTCCCAGTATTAGCACTTGATGGGACGAAGCACTAATAGGAGTGAATATTTCAGTTCCACACCAAGTTCTGGACAAGGGGAGAAGCAGAACATTAAGAAGCCCAACCATAGCAGCACTCCAGGTGAGCTTATCAAAAACAAAAAGATATATTTTTATCTTCATCTATCTGACTCCTGCATCTACCATTCCAACTGGTTCTGAACTCAGGAAGAAATTAAAATAAGCAAGTCAATCACAACACTATGTAAAACTTGGTATCATCTTCATACATGTTTGCAATGAATTTATCCTCCAGAATATTAGGCTATGGTATGAACTGCATCAGGTCACCCCCTACCTGCTGTTTATCTTGTAATGCATTTTGGGCTGTGTCCAAATGATTTTGAAGATCTGCTCTTTGAGCAATTTTTGCTGCTTCTGCTGATAGCAATAATTCAGTTTTGGCTTTAATCTGTAACAAAATTTACAAGTCATTTAATTCGTATTTAGTTCTTGATTTCCTTTTACTTGAATATACATTGCTTTTCTCACTAAGTAACTTAAAAATTTAAGTCCTTTGGCAAAAACATAAGGATTTAAATGCTGAAAAATTAGTATGTGATAATCCTCCAAATAGAAAAGAGTAGGGGAGAAGATTCCTAATAATGTTTGGCTAAATGATGAAAAGATGTTCCTATAAGCCACTGAAACACTTCTCCCTCTCTTAAACTGGATATCCACTTACTGAGTTATCATATAACTCAGCTGACAAATAATTATATTTTTAAAAGAAAGAAATATGCAACCTTATATTCCAACTTATGATACTATTTCTTATTTTCAATAGAATTAATCTCCTAAAATAAAGAAAATCAAAGGTTAGAAATGTTTCTATAACTTTCTCTACAATAGAATAAAACAAGAAATCAATGATGCAAATGGAGAAATAAATATATTTTAATATATTTATTAAATTTATTTATTTATTCACCCCATAACTGACTCATTGAGCAAAATTTCTATATTAGCCTCTGAAAGGATATACAGTTAAAAACAATGATACCATATAAAAGTATTTTTTAAATCATACCTTTAAAGTAAAATTAAATAAAAAATAAAGTTTAAAAAAGTATTTAACCTGGAAATCTAATAGTATAATATCCAACTACTTTGAACTTCAAAAATAATAATAATAACCTCATGGGGAAAAAAGTGAAAATATCAGTAGTTTAAGGAAGTATAGTTTATCAGTAGAAAGAGGAAAAAATGGCAAACAGGAAACGTCAACCAACTGACTAAATACAATCTTTACTTAATTCCTATTCCTAACTTTTTTCCATTAATGAAAGACAGAGAGACATGGGGGCGGCAAGGGAGTGGGGGTAGGGAGCAAGGGACAGAAAGAGAGAGAGGAAAAGAAAAGAATTTAAAACATCTGACGGCCCTGGCTAGGTGGCTCAGTTAATTGCAGTATCACACCATAAAGCAAAAGGTTGAGGGTTGGATCCCCAGTCAGGGCACATACAAGAGGCAACTGATCGATGTTTGCCTCTCACATCAATGTCTCTCTCACTCTTTCTCTTTCTCTCCCCATCCCAGCCTCTCTCTCTAATATCAATAAATATATCCTCAGGTAAGGATTATAAATAAATAAACAAATAAACATTTCGTGGCCTAAAATTAGTATTTTATTCATACAAACTTATTAAATTGCATGATTCAATATTACCTGTATGTCAAGCTGAGAGACCTTCTCCTTGCTTTCATTTAATTGACTATTTAATTCATCAACACTGGTTTCTAGAGAAAGGACACGATCTTGTGCAGCTCTAAGATGTGCCTTCTGCTCTTGCACCTGGTCATGCAAATCCTCCTGGGCTTGTTTATGGCTTTCTGACTGATTCTTCAGCTTCTCTGTTAGTTGAGTTACCTACCACATTAGCAAGATGCTATTATGTAGGTCACAAATGATATAAGAAGAACTAAGAAACCCAAATTGTGATAGATTATCTTAAAACTTTTTCAAGAATCATTCACATCTTTCCAAAAATAAGTAAACATAGTATCTCAAAATCACAAAATATAACATAAAATTCAGAGATTCCTACTATTTTAAAACCACCTCTATTGAGCTATAATTTACATGAAATAAATTTACATGAAATAAAACTAACCCAAATGGATAGTACAGTTTGAGATTTGATAAATACATACACTCATTTAACCAACACCAAAATCAAGACAGAGAAAATGTCAATTACCCCAAAAAGTTTCCTCGTGCCCCTCTGCAGTCGGTACCCTCTCCTCATCTTCAGCCCTAATCACTGACCTGAGCACTGAGTTCCTTACACATGCTACATAGGTCTAAACTGTCGGATATGTGTATTGCAAATATTTTCTCCTAGTCTATGTCTTGTTTTTTATTTTCACAATAGTATCTTTTGAAGAGTATGTATTTTAATTTTAGATAAAATACAACTTATCTGACTTTTTGTGGGTGGGGGATACCCTGCTTGGAGTTCACTGAGTTTCATGAATGTAGATTTATATTTTTAATCAAATTTAATTTTTTCAGCCATCATTTCTATTACTATTTTCCTCCTCCCCACCCTTCTGTGATATTAATTATATGTGTGCTAGCCTCCATGATACTATCCCACAGGTCATTAATTAACAAGGCACTGTTTATTTTTTCCTAGCCTTTTCTCTCTCTGCACTTCATTTTGAAGTTTCAATTACCTTCTCTTCATGTTCACTGATGTTGTCTTTTACTTGCTTAATCTATTAAGCCCACCCAATGAAATTTTCATTTCAGACCTTTTTAAAATCCCTTAAACTGTGATTTTCAACCTTTTTCATTCCACGACACACCTAAATTCATTACTACAATTCTATGGCACACTAGAAAAAAATATATTTTTGCTGATCTGACAAAAAATAGGTACCATAGTTTTAGGACTATAAGACGCAACAGACCATAAGACACACCTAGGTTTTAGAGGAGGAAAATAGGAAAAAAAATTTTGAAGCAAAAAGTATGGTAAAATATTTAATAACCTTGACCCTGCTTTACCTCCGCCCCCCACAGCGAGCCAAGTAAGCACATTTGGACTATAAGATGCACCCCATTTCCCCCCAAATTTTGGGGGGAAAGTGAATTTTGTAGTCCAAAAAATATGGTAAATTTTTATTCATTCACACTGGATGGCTATTGTTGGGTTGGCTGTTATCATTTTTATTTGACAATCTAAGGGAAAAGAGGTCACTGCCCCTTACTGAACAGTCATGTATTGTACATTTTAAAAATTCTTGCTCACACTCGCGCGCCTTCCACAGTACACCAACTGAAAATCACTGCTCTAAAAGTTCTATCTGGTTCTGTTTTACGGATCCACCTCTATTTCTATTATTATAGCTTTTCTTTTATATCCGTAAGTATATTTGAAGAACTTTTTAAAGTACGTGTCTGATGACTCTATCATCTCTCATTTCAGGGTCTTTTTCCATTGAATGATTGTTCAGCTTATAGCTCACACTTTCTACCTCTCTATATAACTAGTCATCTTTTGATATTTATTGTGACAGCTCGGAATTTTGCTGACTTCTTTCAAAGAATGAATTTTGTTCCAGTGGCAGTTAATGTACTTGTGGTTCATCTGGATCCTTTTGAGGCTCGTGTTTATGCTTTGTCAGATTGGATATGCACTGGCTTTTGACTCTAGGGCTAGTTTAATGTTTCTTCTAAGTTGTGACATCTCTGTGGTTTCAACTCACCGCCCCCAAGCATTCACCCATACACATCTTTCTTCTCTGACTGGCTAGAACTTGAACATCCTCCAGGACTGCAAATCTGATCATTTTTCAGCCTGCAGCTCCTAATAATTATTTACTGCCTGGCCTCAGGGAATCCCATCTCGTGAGCACAAAGATTAATACTCAGCCAAAGGCCCAAGCAGATCCCTATGCAGATTTATCTCCATGTTCTCTCCTCTTTGATATTCTGCCCTGAAAGTTTGAGCTGCGTCAACTTTCCTGGACTTCAGTCACTCACTCCTCAATTCAGTGAGACCACTGTGCTGCTTAGATTTCCGCAACCTGTACCACAGTCTATAAAATGTCTCCATGTCCAAAGTCGAAGTAGCTGAAAGATTCATTTCATTTGTTTCTCTTCTTTCATTGTACTGCTTGTTGTACAATGTCTAATAAAGACAGTGGTTTTACATATCTTTTCCCAATTTTCTAGTTGTTTATGGTGGGAGGACTAAAGAAGTATCAGTTACTTGAAATAGCCAGAAGCAGAAGTACATAGACTTTTATTTATTCCTTTATAAAAACATGCATAGGCTATTCTGGTCACATTTATATGATAAGCAGTGTCAAGTTGTATGTGAGTCACAACTAAAAACTAGTCTAAAGAATTTTTCATAAAAACTGGTAACCAAGGCTAACTTTGAAATTTGAGAAAAAATTCTATTTAACAAGAGGGGACCCAAAAAACCTGAAATTATTTATAAAAATTATGTATTTATTCTTATATGTTTAAATTTCAGTCACCTTCAAAGTCTCCATTTGATGCAATGTATCTATTGAGACATTTTTTCTACTGCTCAAAACATTTTGGAACTTGTTGGTTTTGATGCCTTGTATTGCTTCTGCCATTTTTTGTTTCACCTCTTTCATATTGGCAAAATGTTTCCCTTTGAGGACTTTTTCATCCAGGAAAACAAACAAAAAATCACTAGGGGCAAGATCCGGTGAATAGGAAGTATGGGGCATGGGGATCATGGCATTTTTGGTCAAAACCTGCTGAACACTCAGCACAGTGTGAGCAGGTGTGCTCCTAAATCACTCATCACGAAATGGGCAAATGCACTGGAAGGGTCTTCAAAAATTCACTGAAGCCGAATGCAGCCTCTCACAACAACACCAGCTAGCACACTGATATAGATGGTTCCCAGAACACTCATGTAGCAGGGGAGGCCTGTACTACAAGGGGCCTAGCCCAAAGAAGATAAATTTCATATTTTGGGAGTCCCCCTTGTAATCTAATACCCAAGTTTGAGAAGTGATATGACCTACTAATACTTTAATGCTTTCTCATGTAGATAACTATGATTCTCTCATTGGACAATTCTTCCCCAAAAAAGTGACTATAAATTCTTCTCAGTGTGAAAATGTAATAAGCTGAATTTTATAAGCTTCTATTAAACTACATACAAATGTTAGAATATAGTAACATCAAAATTATTATTACTTATAAATTCCAAAGACAGTGTCAAAATACAAGTAATCACTAAGTCTATATGCTAACCAATACAGAGTAATAACTACTTGATTAGTACTTGGAGTTTATTAACATGTTTTGTTATTCATTCTTTTTTCAAAACATAACAAACTACCACAAGGCAAATAAAATTATCAGTAACATCTCTACTTTTTAAATAAATTAACAAGATTAAATGGTTTTCTCGTGGTCACATTAGGTAATAAATTACATCCCTGGCACATGAACTGGGGTTTCCTTTCTCAAATCATGTTAACTTACTTTCATTACAATAGCAACCCACCTTTAATGTAAATGAGATAGTATTTGTCATAAATATAGAATATTAAAAAGTACTAAAACTAACCATAATGAAGAATCATTTAAATAAGGCATTTAAGATTTAGAAAGATAACAGGAAATTTTAGAAATAGACTTGACAAGCTTACTTGTTCTTGTAACGTATGGTTTTTTTCTTGTAATTGGTTAAGAACGGCAGTTTCCCCTTCACCAGCCTGAATTTTTGCATAAAGATCTTCTCTTTCCTTTTCTAGTAAGGAAATATTTTCTTTACTCTTCTGTAATAAGGCTTCAAGGTTCTGGATCTTTTGGTCCTTATCGCCGATTTGGCGTAGTACTTGTTCCAAGTCATTCTGTAAAGAATTGGAAACTAACCTTAAGGATAGAGAACTTAGAAAGCTACTTCTTAAAATAACTAATAAATTTTATAACTCAAACCTCTTTTACTTATTATTACATTTTAACATGACAAATTTAATTAAATAATTAGCATTATATATGAATGTAAATCTATATTATTGATAATAAACTGGAACTTAACAAACACAACAAAAACCTTCAATTGACCACATTCGCACTGCAGCACAGACTTCACCACCCACTACTCCTTGTTCAATCCGCCTGAGACACATGGGACTCCTCATTATTCCTTAGTCACTCCAGGCACATTCCCACCTCAGAGGCTTCACACTGTTTCTTCTGCCTGGAACACTTCTCTCACAGTGCTGGCTGATTCCCTCTCCGTCAAATGTTTGTTCAAATGTCCCCCAAGCCTACCCTACCCAATACACTTAAAATTGCAGCCTTTCCCAATATCCCCTCTCCTGAATTTTTTTTCTTTTCATAGCACTTATCTATGCTCCACAAAGAGGAGGACTTTTGTCTGTTTTATTCACTGATATATCTAAGATATCTAAGACACCTATGCTCTATTTGTTGAAAGAACAGAAAAATAAATGACTGCATTCTAACACAGACACTCTAGAAGACTCACTTACTTCAATACCACAAAAGGACTCTTCGATGTATCAACACATCAATGGATCCCTCTTCCACTTTACCAAAGTAATGTTACACAGAACACAATGCAACAGCCCACATCCTGAAAAATGACCACCAATGTTTTCAAGTTGTCTTACCCACACACAACCTTTGCCTCAATCATTTTAAAAGCCAGAGCCCCTACACTGAACAAGGCCCTAACAAGTCCCTCTGCAAATCTTATCACAGTCCACTCTACTTTCTGAGGCAGAACCAGCAACCACCTGGTATACTCAACAATTTGTGCCAATACTAAAATTTTTCAGGTCAGTCAGTTTTAAATGTACTTCTCAACCCTCTAAGCTTCAATCGCTAAACGAAAGAAACCTAACCTCTCTACTTCTTCCTCTTTCCTGCCACTAATGACCCCTCTTCTCCACATTTCACTAATCTTCTAGAACCACAGGCCTAAGTTTTTTTCCAGTCATACTATTTCCAAGGCTAATTCACATGCGGTTCTCCCTTTACAAATTCTGAGTTCCTCTCACCCCTATCTGATACCTCTAAGGCTTATTCCTCTGGGAAAGCAGGGGAGATTGACCCTTTCCTGGTTTTTCACCACCACTACTCTCTCCTTTATGCAAAAGTTTCATGCTGCTTTGGAGAGTATGTAATTCACTTATTCTACCCTCTATTCTGTGTTACTGTCATCTATAAATCTCTACCTCATTCACAGAAGTTTGAGACCTGATTTAGCCTTTCTCTCAATCCCAATTCCTTTCAATTTCCGGGGAAATACAAAATACATTGCAAATTAAAAGCAGAGCCTCAATATTCATATTACCTTAATAACTATACCTTAGTCATTCTATTCAACATGTGGAATCCTGTAAATCACCTGAAATTGCTCCAGATGAAAAATTTCATTTATCCTACTCTGTGACCACAACTTCCTGTCTTCCAATTGCATGACCCATTTCTGCTCTTCAAGGTCAAAGAGACATTTACCTGAATTTTCTTCAAGCTTATTTAACATAAGCCTAGCTTTTCTTCCTGAACCTCATATATGGATATGAACTAACTTTAACTCTTCTTTCAACTACATTCTTCATTTCCTGTTCCCAAATTTCTAATACAGCCACCTTCCCCTCAAAAAGCCCAAACTTGGGTCAATATTGCAATCTGCTTCCTTCACCCCTTTCTAAGCACCATTAGAGCAAATATCACAAAATTCCACATGGGCCTCTCTACAAATTTCTATAATCCAATCTCCATTACATATCCAGAATCATCTTGTCAACCCTATCAGTTAGTGAAGTTCTCATCCTCAAACATTTCCCTCAATATCTATGGAAAAGCTTCAAAAGTCTCTCAAATTCTTAGTTTCTGCCTGCTTGACATTCAGCTATTATCCAAGAGAGGTGAGGAGTAGATCTTCAGGAATATCCTCAATTTTCCATCTCCTTACCTATAAAATTATATACATCCAACTTACCTCTTTTTATCAAGTTTCAAAGGATATTCTGCAAAGGACAAATTCACATTTACCACCACCCACTGTATCAATGACATCATAGCTTTTTCTCAATACCGTATTCCTTTAGTCATCTCTCCTCTAACATCCTCAGTTGCTCCCTTTCCATCAGCCCCTCTGTGCTGGACGACAAACATTGGCAGACACTTAGTCTCCCAAACACTTCCTGAATCACGCCCCACTCCAGTTTCTGCCCAATCTTTATACAATTTACATTTAAATTTTGAAAGCAATACATATTTAGTTTCCTAACTCCCTCATCTCTTATTTACTCATCAATCAAAAATCAGACTTTCAACTACATCATTTCTAGTCTAATAATTCCATTTACCCCATATACGCTGATGTCTCTTAGTTAATATACATAAGCTTTAATATATTCTCAGAGGCGCTTCAAAACATGTTCAAAACAGTGCTCATCACATTCTCTTATAAAACATGATGGCTATTTGTCTTATATTTAGTAACACAATTGATGACACACCCATTTACCATGCCCTCAATGTTTTCAGTAAGGAAACCATTCATTCCCTTTCTCTCTCATTCCCTCCAACTATTAAGTCAGCAAGTCCTATTTAATTTTACCTCCAAAGTATTAGTTATATTTGTCCCTATGATATTTGTAAACAAATGTTTAAACTAAGATTATTTTTCATCTAAGATACTGTATTTATTGATCTTTTCATTGATTTCTTGTTTCAGATTATTCTCTCCAAAATCCATCTTTCACACAACCACAAGAATAACCTATTTAAAAATCAAATCTGACTATGGTACTTCTAAAGACCTTCAACCCCTTTCTGTATTCAAGAATAAATGTCATACAAGGCCTTTCATAAACTTATAGATGTCTAATGCTCTGGCCTCTTCTCTAACTAATCTTTCAATGACATTCAATGCTCCAGCAAAACCTAATAGTTTAGGCTCACACCAGCTTCAGTATCCTTGTGCTTGTAACCTCTCCTTGCAGTATACCCTTAACTATCATCTTCTCTGCAACCTAGAAACATTTATGAATCCTTTGCAACTCAGACTGTCACTTCTAAGAACTTCTTAATGACTACTCCTTCCAGACTCTATCCAAGTTATATCTATCTTCTATGCTATCATAATAATTTTATATACATATATACAGCTAGAATTAAACTCGTTACATTTCTTTAATTAGTTTTTAGGACTTTTCATGTTTCCATAATGAGAGACTTTGCATGGCCTCTTTGCCATTCTTTTCTTATTCCTTCCCAGGGAATGAGAATTTGACTAATTAGAAAGTTTGGATAAAAGACCAAACACATTAAACTCAGCCCCTTGCTTCCCCTCAGTGTAAGACACAAATCTGTCTATAAGAAGGTGAAAGGCTATTATTTCCAGCTTTGCCTGTGACTGGAGGAATAAATTTAATTGTGGGGTATAGTGTCTGAACCTGAATGCCCACTTGCTACAGACCTATGCAAAATTCTCCCTCAGCTTTACTACCCTACTTCTTTCCTCTTTACAGTAAAATTCCTACAGTTATCCACATTCATTTGCCAAACCTCTCTTCCCGTTTTCTCTTGAACTCTCTCCATCTGGCTTTCGGTCCTCCTTCTCTATCCAACTTGCTCTTATCAATATCATCAATGACCTCCATGTTGCCAAATCTACTAGGATTCTCCATCTTCATCTTCCTTGACCTCCATCCTTCTGACCATCCAGACCAAAATCCTTGGAATCATTCTTGACTTCTTTCTCAATGCCCTACATCGATCTATCAGTAAGTCTGTCAGCTTTACTTCTGAAATATATCTAGAATCTGACTGCTTCTTACTACCTATACTTTTCAAATCTGTATCATTATTTTTTAAATTTTTATCGAATTCATCGGGATGACATTAATAAAATTATATACCATTTCTTAAGTTGGATTATTATAGTAGCCTCTCAGCCTTTTTTTTTTTTTTTTTTGCTTCTACTCATGTGCCCCTACTGTCTGCTCAACACAGCAGCCAGAGTAATCCTGTGAAATTACAAGTTAGATCATGGTACTTCTTTGCTCTGAAGCCTCCACTGATTTCTCATCTCAGAGTAAAATACTTAAAATTGCCTAAGTGGCTCAACATGTTCTGACCCTCTATGATTTCTGATTGTGTCCCCTTTTAATACGTCTCATCATTCACACCACTCCAACCACTGACTTCCTGAGGTTCCTTACATATGCTCCTGGCTCATGGCTTTTTAATATACTGATGCTCTTCTCTCTGATGTCCAGATGCCTCACACCCTCCTCTCCCTCAGGACTTTCATTTTCTGAGAAAGGCCTTCCCTGGCAATGCTATCTAACACTGCAGTCACTGAGTTCCAGCTTCCCAGATACTTCCTACTCCCCATCCCTTTTACCATCTCTAGCACTTATCACCATTTAACACACTATATATTTTGCCTATTTACCTTGGCTATAGTTTCTCCCTCACTAAGCTCCATGAGAGAAGACATGTTTGTCTGTTTTCTTCACTGTCATATACACGAAATCCCTTCCTTGGCTAAGAGCAGGCAATAACCCATATTTGTCAACTGAGTGAATGAAAGAACAAAAAATGAATACAGTGTTGTGATCCCTGTCCATGCGACTCCCAAGCCACTCTCCAAATTTAGAAGGGATACAGAGGCATATCACTGCCTCTTTTAAACTCCAACACTGTTCTGTGTGCACATTAGATTGCCATTTCCCAGAAAGCAGCACTGTGTCTTACTCCTCTATTTTCAGCATGTACCACAGGACCTGACATACAGTGTTCAATAGTATTCAATGAATAAATACAAGATCAAATAAGTGAAAGTCAAAGTCAAATTCATTTCAAACATTTGGGTGCCCTCCTCCCTTACCATAACAAAATAAAAATCTAATTTCTTTTAATCTTCTAAGTTATTCTTTAGAATCTGTATAAATTTAACCGATCACTTATATTTTCTATACTAGCAACTCCAATATTCTTCTGATAGTTCTTTTTAAAAAAAAAGATTTTACTAGTTTATTGTTAGAAAGAGTGGAAAGAAGGGAGAAAGAGAATAAAAAACATAGCTCAATTGGGGACCCACAACTGGGGACCTGGTCTGCAACCCAGGCATGTGCCCTGACCAGAAATTGAACTGGCGATTTTCCGGTTTGCAGGACAGTGCACAATCCACTGAGCCACACCAGCCAGGGCCAATGCTCACATGACAGTTCTCAAGCAGAAGACATGACCACAAACATTATGTTCTACTGTAGGACATACAAAATGTTCTTTTATTTACTGGGCTAACTATATAGACCAGAAAATTTTATTCATATATTTTTATTTCTCAAATAAGTTATTTAAATATACCTGCAACAAATATAATATTGTATGTCAACAGCAACTGGAAAATAATTTAATAAATAAAATAATAAATCACACTGAATAATATATTATATAAAAATAATTTAAACACTATATATTTTACTTAAATTTAATATACATTTGATTAATAAAAAATTTAATGACTATTTTTAAATAAATTTACTTAAAATATTTTAGAGAAAATTTTCAACATAGAAATCAAAATAAAAAGATTTTTTGATTATCCAGATACTGAAAATTATCTAAATCCTTCATAATCAAGTATTTTACATCATCTAGCCTTACTACAACAAAAGAATAATGATTTGGCTAGTTTTGTTTAAAAGGCTAATAATTCAAATAATATTTACTTGCCTGAGCTTCTCGGAGTTTTGCTGTAATGTTTTGCTGAAGGGCTTGCTGTTCTTGATGCTGTTGCTTTGTTTTCTCTAACTGATGCTGCAGTTCCGTGGAATTTGTTACTTTTTCCTTCAACTTAAAAAGACGTAGCCTGTCAGTTGACAACTTAAAGGTATAATGCTATCATTCATAAAAAATTGGCATTACTTCAAATCTCATAATTCTGAAGTCTGGAGAGAAAACTAAATTCAGACAATATATAAAATCAACCTTTAAAAGCAGTATCTCATTACTTATAGAATCTCAATATCATGATTAAGAAACTATTCCCTAGGAATAGACTCTCATCTTGAGAAAAATACAATCCTTTCTCCAGGTTTGCATTTATTTTATACTTTGTTGTGTATGCTAATATGATCAAGGAATTCATTGCATACAAATATTTTGTAACAATAATCTAAACCACAGTATCAGTATTTGTTTTCTTTTTCTATAAGAATCATAACTATCACTTATTGAAAAGGATGAATTATAACAATAGTCAAGACACCTCAACTCTATCAACCAATTGGCTAACATAAACTCATTTGAAATGCTAACTCACCTGTTCTTCTAAACGAGAAAGCTTGAGTTGTAAATCAGCCACTTGCTGCTCTTTATCCAGCAACTTTTCACTTGAGAGCTGCCTTTGTTCCTTCAGCCTGCCATGGGCTTCACCTAGTTGCCGCTCAGTCTCCAGAAGTTTGCCATGTAACTTGAAAGAGAAAAAAGGTGTGCACATATGTATAAACACATGAACCACCATCACTACCACCACCTAGTCTCCAAATGATGTTTTATATTCCACCAATATAAGTACAATATAGTAATTTTCATAATACAACTGAATTTTCATCACATAAATATGATGAATCACATAAAATTGTGATTAAACATCACAATTTCTAGTTTTTTTGCTCTTAAAAAATGTAGTGAACCAGAGGATGTTGTTTAGATATAAGTATTGGAATCACTTGAAAAACTTAAAAATAATAAAGTGAACATTAAAAACTAAGGCAGGGCAGCTCAGACCTATTCCACAGTGTGTTTGAAACATTACAGCAATTCTTGCCATTTTTCCACAATTCTGAACCACCACAATTGACTTCTTACACTGGAAATTAAAGAGCACAAAGCATTCCAAAGTTTTCAGACTGGTAGATAATTTTTAAATAAAATAGAGCAAAGAATATTTTAAAAAAAACATTAGGAGACTATCATTCACTAACTCTAAAATTGCCACCCAGTGAAAACTAAAATAAAAATTTGGCCTGGAGCTAAGAACCATCACTCTCTCGAGTTCACTATTTTTTTCTAACACCAGCAGAAATAAGTTACTTTCTCTTGGGATGTAAGTGGGCAGTGGTGGCAGTTCCATTAAACAAAAACAGAAGTCTGTATTAATTTCAGATGAATCACTGCCCGAGTATTGGAAGTGCAGAACAAAAAAGAGTTGCATGGAGATAAGAATGCAGGACATTTGGCAAGGCTTATGCACTGAGAATGCTCTCACACACCAGCCTCAAAACTCAAAATAAATTCATACACCTCAGCAAAATTTAAAAATTAAAAATATGGCAAGGAAAAAAGTTCTTCAAGAAAATTAGACATTATTTTTGAATGAAACAAACTGTGGCTATCGAAATATATCCTATCCTTAATTTTTTCAGGAAGTTATTTTCTAAAGTAAAACATGTTTCCATCAAACTAAAACAGGAAACAATAACAGTTAAAGAGAATAAACTTACTTTATGTTTGTCCCTAGCCAGTACCCTAACGCCTGTCTCATTTACTCTTCTGAAAATGCAGTGAGTTAGTACTATAACAACTACCCAAACCACCTCTCACTAAAACAACTAGGCGCAATCCTGACATGTGAAAGCAAAGACCTTCAAAGTAAACTCCTATTTCAAGCACATTAAGTGCTCAATCTGATACTGTACTGTAGAACTATACCTGAAACCTGTATAATTTTATCAACCAATGTCACCCCAATAAATTCAATTAAAAAATTAAAAGTAAAATCACACATTGAAATTATTAACAGAATATCCTACTTTAAAGACACATTTTGGCATATATATACATATATGTATACATTCTTCAGGAAATTCGGTTGTGTAAACTTATATATATAGTTCCTTATTTATATTCCCAATAACGTCTACTATGTGCCAGGCCCCTTCTACATGCTCCACAAGTAGTAACTGATTTAATCTTTATAAAAATCCTATAAAGAAAGTTCCATTATTATCCTCATTTCATAGTTGGACAAACTGAGGCACAAATTAAATAACTTGTCCAAGATCAGTCTGTAGGCCAGAGAACTAGAATCTCAATAGTCGGTCCCTAAATCCACAGATAAACCACTATGCTATTGAAGATAGTACGTTAGATAATTTTTAAAAGTAAAATTGACGACACCTAATCTTTTAACTAATAAATCACTACCTGCACATCTGTGGCTATTGTAGAAGTGCTCATAAACATACCTATGAAGAACATGGTTTACTTTAAGTCCTTTGTTGACAAGTGCCAACTACATCATTTGTCAGCACTGAAATGGATGCTGAGTATGATGCAGTGGAGAGCCACACACACACAGTTCGTGCCTACACACGTTAAGAGTGCTGGAAAAAAGGTTTAAAGTGAGATTCACGTCCATTCTTCCAACAAATATTCACTGAAAGCTCCAAGTATAGAGGCTGTTAGAGTATAGAATAAAACAAATTCCTCACATTAAGGTGTTCACAGTCCAAGGGAAATTGTAAACAAGAAACTAATATACAATATAAAGTGTTATAGAGAAAAAGAAAGAAGAAGCTTGCTGAAATAAAGAAGGGGTCAAACCATATGGAAAACAAGCTATTAAAACAGAGTGGTCCCCGAAGGCTTTATAGCAAAAGTAACACTTGGGCCAGCCTTCTGAAGAACTGAAATCAAGGGCACAATAAGAAGAAAATACAGGAAATCCTGCCACAGGTCCTTTTCCTGCCAAAGGACCTATGGCAGGAAAGCACTTGAAGTGTTGGTGGGTCTGAGGAACTGAAAGAAGTCGAACATGGCTTCGCAGTGGTAGAAGATGATTCTGAAGACGCAGTGTGGGCCGTATTACATATAGAAGCTTACATACCAAATTAAGATATTTGGTTTCAATGCAAAGCCACTTTAAGCAGTGTTAAGCAGGGAAGAAAGTGATATCCTTCATGTTTTAAAAAGATGTCTCTGACTTCTGTATGGAGAATAGATCAAGGAGGTCACTAGAAGAAGGGAAACTTGTAAGAAGGCTAATACAGTAGCCCAGGTCAGTAATGACGGAGGCTTAGGTTAAGGGTGGTAACAGTATAGATGAAAAGAAGTGGACAGATTTGAAACATACTTTGATGGTAGAATCCAGACAGCATGCTGAAAGAAAGAAGATAAATGATATCACTTCAGGTTCTTAGTATAATCTCTATTTTGTCACAGAGCTGTGGCTAAATCCAATGGTCACACATTCAAGTCTTTGTATAAAAATATATTTGAGCAGGTTCTCAAAAATTCCTAATGCCCTTCCATCCACTGACAACAAAATAAAGCCCAAATTCCTCAGCCTGTCATTCAAGAGCCTACGTAAAAATCCCAAATGCTCTTCCACAATAGTCCACTCCTATCACATATAACCTATTCCAAGAAAAAATCAGTGTCCCCTCCTGATTCTTATAATACTTTCCTGCCACTAGTTTACTCTCTCTGATCCTTCAGCCTGGAGGGCCCTCCTGCCTTCAAACTGCTACTTGCCTAAACCTACTCAACATTCACAGCTTCAAGCACCACCTCTCTCTTCCACAAAGCTTTTCCTGATCACATAACTGGACAAAACAATTACACAATATGAAGTACACTGGGCACGGAAAAAACACAGGAGAAGAACTCTTCCAAATTCTCACAGTATTTGGGATCATTTTATTGTAATTCCATGGTCTTCAGTATATGATGGTACTTGCCTTATTCTCAATGATATTTACATAATGATTTAAGGTAGGTACTGTGTCCTTTTTCACTTCTGTATCTCCCAACAATAAGGAATAATATACTTTAGAAACCATAAATGCTCAATTTGCTTATCTGAACGAAAAGTCAAAAAGTTAAGTTACTCACTGCTACGCTCACTCCAAGCTTCTGTTGCATTCCATGAATGCCTGCATTGATTTACTCACTAAAACATCTGATAAGCAAGCAATATGCCAGGTAGTAAGGATAAAAAATGAATAAGACATGGTCTTGTACCCAAAGAGTTCAGAGTTGAGAAAAGAAAGACATCTGGTAGTCTGGTAGTACACTATGGTAAGTAAAACAAGATCATGTGCATGCTTAAGCCGTCTTTTGAGGGAGGTTAGAACTGGCACTGTTCAAAAACAGATTTCTAGAAATGTAACAAGTAAAATAAGCATTATTTATCAAGTAGCAGAGGAATAGAAAGACAGAAGAATTAATGCCACAAAAGGAAATATCAATACCATTTAAGTAAAAATGGTTGAACATAATAAAAAAAACTAGCTGAGGACTTTGTTCTTCCCAAAATTTCCATTTTCTTAATCAATTTTAGTTATCTATAAGAAATAACTACAGCCCTGGCTGGCGTAGCTCAGTGGATTGAGTGCAGGCCTGCGAACCAGAGTATCGTGGTTCGATTCCCAGTCAGGGCACATGTCTGGGTTGCAGGCCAGTTCCCAGCAGGGGACGCATGAGAGCAACCATACATTGATATTTCTCTCCTACTCTTTCCCCTCCCTTCCCCTCTCTTGAAAAATAAATAAATAAATAAAAAGAAATAACTACAGTATATAATTTAAAAATTAAATTAATGGAAAAAAGTCAAAACTTGCATTAAACTGTATAAAACTTGCAATAATGTCATCTGAGAGGCATTATTTATCTTTAAGAAATACCTGTTAGAACTAATATGTTTTCTTCTTTTAAAATATCTAATTTTGTATTATTGGTTTAAAAATAATTATATTTTGAAAATCTAGTAAGGAAAAAACAAGTTTTTAAATTAAAGAATGGTCAAAATTTGAATTAATTACAAAAGCTAATACATAGTCAGAGTACCTACCATGAGCCAGGTACCATCCTAAGCAATTATACGTATGAAGTCATAAATACTTCACAACATTACTACATGATAGATAATATCACTGTCTCATCTTAAGAAAAACTGAAATGAAAGGAAATGCAATCTGACTCAATACTACAGTTGTGAAAATTAAAAGTTAATTTTTCAAATGACAATGTCATTTGACAATGTTCATTTTAATGAACTATATTATGATCAAATAACTATCAGGTACACTAAAAGAAACCATAGGAGAAATTCCAATAAATAAAAGTAACACCTCTTACCTGATTAATTTCACCTTGGAGTTGTAACCCATGCTGTTCCTTTTCTTCTCTCTGTTGTTGTAGCTGTTTAAACTCTGCCTTAAGATGCTGGTACTTGGTCTCTACTTCTGATAATTCTTCTTTGAGCTTTTGAGTAGCTTCTCCCTTTTCACCTAATTCTGCCTGTACTCTCTGCAGTGAAGTTTCAGATGCAGATAATCGTGACTGAAGCTGTTGACAATCTAGGTCTTTTTGATGGAGGCTTGCTTGTATATTCTTTTTACTCACACATTCATCACTATATTTCTCTTCTAGCTGGGTATAGTCAAGTTCTTTCTTCAGCAGCTTTTCAGTCAAATTCTGAAATATCAATTTAACAATTTATTTCCCTTTCCAATATTTTTAATTAGTCTAATTATTCAAATAATTTACACAGCAGTACCATCTCTTACTAAAGAGTTTAGTTAATATTATGATATAAAAACAGTACAACTATTCGAGTCAAGAATTATTGTTATTACATAATTATATGATTTTATTATTGGTCCACCTGACTAAACTCTTTAATATAACTTAAGAATTACCAACAAAATTTTGACATAAGATCAAAACCCTAGAACCTACTAGAGTCCTTAGAATAATATTTATATTCTACCCTCCTAGCACAAAAAACGACTTTGAACAACGATGCTGCTGCAGTTCTGATTCCTGGCTTTGCAGTTTCACAGTTGTCAGTGCTTCCGCATAAGCAATGCCATTCACTGCTCATGCTGATCCTACTCATTCCTTACTTCGTTCTTGGGAAAGGCCATTTTTAAGAGTCACAATTTTCCAACTAATTCAAATTTCTTTCCGACTATAAGAAGTAGTGATCTAAAAATATCACTTACCTGCTTTATATTTCATTACTTCACTTAATTCTGTCAAGTACATAATGTAAAAATGATACCACCAATCAAAGATCTGACTCAACAACACTAAGCACATGTCAAAGTCCAGTCTTAGTGGACTTGTTACAATTAATATTGAACATTTTCAGTCAACATATTTACACATGAAACAGAAATCAGAATTTTGACTTAATTATGTAAGCCAGAATAAGAAGCCACTACAAGCACCTGGAGAATCTATCCATGGACATTTATTTTACTTAGTTTTTATATGTAGTGCCCTAGAAGGAAATAATATAAAAATGGTAGAAGAGAGTCAAAGTCTGTGGCCTTTAAACAGACTATAACCTAAATGAAATACACACATTAAAAAAAACTCTTCTAAGAAAGTTAAAACATAATGTGCAAGCAAAAATAGATTAATATAAAACGTATGTCAAATTTCTTAAGTGCAAATTTTTTAAAAAGTAAAATGAGCAAAGTCAGGTGGAGCTAACTAGTAAGTTAATCACCTAAAAATAAAATTTGAACTTGATAAAGTGGTGAGAGGAGTTAAGTAATAAGCATACATGACTCATGCAACCTGCTCTACACAAAGAGACACAAACATATAAAAAGAGAGAGAGGCACAGATGAACGAGTTGCATGTGGGGAAAGAGCAAACACTATCACCTTAAGGGGGGTAATAAATCTAGGCACCGCAGATAAAGGCAGCACTAACTTATCTGAGAAAAAGCACCTTCATGTAAATTATCAAGTAGTAACACATTCCAAAAAAAAGTACCGCCCAGAAAGATGACAGAAGCACATACAAAAGAGACAAGATGGGAGAAAAACTTTAGAAGAGCAACCAGAAGTTGACAGCAAAATCGGTGCAGAGATGTGTGCCTCAACGAACTGGCAGAAACAGAAATAAGAGGTAGAAGAGCCAAAATTCTAGAGAAAAAACTTTTCAGTCAAAGGATATGCTAGGAAAACTCCTTTTTTATAAACATTTCTTTGTGTTACTAGTTAGTAACTAGTAATCTTTTTTTGCAATAATTTTACATTTTTTCTTTTAAGACAATAACATTTATTTTGGAACTTGTAGGCTAAATTAAGTTCATTCATTGATCTATAAAAGTATAAGATCTTGTAAATGAAAACTCTAAGTTATTGAATGTCATGAATGCAATCATGCTCACAAATACCGAGAGCTCCGATGAGACACAATTTTAAAACATGCTACAAAAATTAAGGCTCATACTGAGTAGTCTTCCATAGGCTTACCAAGTAATCCTACCAGTACTATAAATTAATGACCCCTCAGACCGCTTCGCTCTTTAAGAAGCAAACATACATAGCAACAACTGACCGTTTAAAATTCACTTGTCCTAAAAAATTATTCAAAATCTACCTCCTTTACTGCAGGTAGGAAAAAATTTACAGGTGGGAGAAAATTAAATTTTCTTCAAAAGAACTTCTCCATACATCTCATATTTTGTGCTCTTACATGTTCCCATGCCTCCTGTGTATCAAGCTTTCAAAATAATATGTTGTTTACCCCTCTGCCATGTAAAATGATCCTTAGAATCCTTACAGACTAACCCAAAAAGTTATGCCTTCTACAAAAGCTTTTCCTGAGTTAGTACAAAGTAAGTTAGGAAGACTTGTACCTTGGTCCTGACCCAATCTTGTATCATAATACTTACCAAATAAAAGCAAAACCAAACATTCACTGAGGTGCTTACTAAACACCAGAAACTGGTCTAATCACTATTAATGTTTTTAATACTCATATCAACCCTAAGAAGCAAATGGGTATAACAGTGCTTCATAGCAGAAGAGGAAAGACTCTTAGAGGTTAAGTGTCACAGCGAAGCTGAGATTTAAACATGCCTTTGATCACTGTACTCTACCATTCACATAAATACACCACTTTGCAATACAGTGGTAACACAAAGCAATATAACTTCTTGCCACACCTGGTACCTGCTTTGGCCAATGAGCACCTTAATACTGGGACTGTTAGAAAGAGAAGAGCAAAGAAGGATGGAAAATGAATGAGAGGTGAAACTCAAAAATAACTCAGTCTCTTACAATAACCAATATTATAATGGTAGCTTTAAGCATATGATTTTGCTCAAAATTTATATGAAAATAGTTAATTAAAATCAAACTGCAGATTTTGTTAAATGTCAGAGTATCATTTTTATTAAAACCTAAAAAAGTAGTTTCTTCAATATCCCCCTATTGTTTTTAAGTTTTCAAAACCAAAAATTATAAAACATTGCTTTAATGCTAAAAACCTTGACATCGGCACAAAAGCAATTATTTTTCTATTTATTATATATTATAATGTCACCTACTCACTTTGATGCTGCTGGAGATCCACAGAAGCTGCCCAAGGCATTTTATGCAATAGTTTTCAAGAGACCGCACACAGAAATTTCCAAATTCAAAACACTTGGATATCACTACTGTCAACAATTATGGTTTGCCAAGGACAGGGAGTGAGGAGGAAAGGGGGAGGCAAATAGCAAGGACCATCAGAAAGGGTAGATGCAGCCTTGGCCAGGTGGTTCAGTTGCTTGGAGCACTGCCCCATGCACCAAAAGTTTGCAAGTTCCATCACTGGTCAGGGTACAAAACCAGGTTGCGGGTTAGCTCCCTGGTCTGGGCACATATGAGAAGCAACCAATCAATGTCAACCTCTCTCTCCCTCTTTCTATCTCTCTCTGTCTCTCTCAAATAATTAATATATCCTCAGGTAAGGATTAAAAAAATAGGTAAATGCACCTTAGCATTTGCTCTTACTGGTGAGCAAATTCTAAATAATAAAATACTTTGAAAAAAATGTGAAGACTCACAAAGATTATTAAGATTAGCAGAAGATCACAGTCTCTAATAAAAAATATTCTAATTTTACTAAACCAAACCATCTCCACTTCATGTATTATTCATAAAATAGCTACAGTACCTCCTTTAACAATGTGTGTGTGTGTATGTATACACATATATGTACACACACACACAATCTGTGCTTCATTATTTGACAATACATCTCAGGCTATCAGTGTCAAACCATGTCCTTTATTAATAGTATAATATTTCAAAAAAATACAGTAAATTATACTGAGCATAAACATCCACTGCATGCACACATGCTGGTCAGTTTGTAAGAGGCAAACAATGGACCCTGGTGAACTGATATAATTACTTTGGAAAATCATTTGGGGTCACCTAGTATATTTGATCGTGTCTGTAATCTATACAAATTTCACTTGGGAATATATAACAAAAAATTTCTTAAACAAATGCATGAGATTTACATGTGAATATGATAAGGGACTCAAGAGAAATTTTAGCTTAAGGTAAAAAGTTAAAAATCTAGCAAGTAATATGTATGTCAAAGTTTTTGTTTCAGAAACTACAGATAAGGCCCATCCTGGCTCCTGGGAAAACAGCTGACCTCCTGGGGCACTGCTAAAGGTTACCACCTGGGGACAAGTGGAAGCATCTGAGCTTTTGTGTTCCAGGGAGAGACAGATGACCACCTACCCCTGGGAACAGCTAACTGCCTAGGACAGAAATGTTGCAGCTTCTTTCACCTAATCCTCCCTGAATCTCAAAGCCCTCACTGCACCTTGTATTTCCCTGGTATAAAACGTCTGGCCTAGAGAGAAAAGGGAAAATGGTCTGTTAGGGTATGAACCCACCATCTTCTCATATCGCTGGCCATCTGAATAAAGTTCCCATAAAGATTTAATAGCTGTTATTGCTTATTGGGTTTGGTAATGACAGACAGCCCAAACACCGGTGTCTTTTCTGGTTACAAATATTCATAGTTGCAATATTTGTAATAGCAACAAAAAAAGACTGAAAAAATAGGAAGTAAATATAAATGATTTCTGCTACATTCCAAAGAATAATATAATTATCACGTGGAAAAAATCTTTCGTGTGTGTGTTTTATAACACACTAAGTTATAAACTGAGTTAGTTGTTTTTTTTTTCATGAAACACCATTTTTATGGAAATAATAAGACAAACTATGATTATTCAGATTTGCAGAGGAAGAGAACTTGTCACTTTAAAGAACAGAACTGACAGTATTTGGTGCCAATGATAAAATTAGAGTTTTCAAATGAAGCTTAGAATTTTGGAAAACTTGTATCCACCACCATGAACTTGATACTTCCTCACACTTAAAGCCTAGTCTGAGACTATGGATGGTGATATTGACAAATGTTATAGTTTTTATACTGTACAATGGAATGTGTCAATATTTGGGGGAGTTGCATTAAGTCAGTGAACCATATTTTCTACATGACTCAATGTTACAAAGGCATGCATAGTAAAGACAGACTCAAAAGGCAAGATAGAGGAATGAATTTTAATGTTACAAAGTACAAAAACTCCACTGATATGGTTCAAGATTCTATACTATAACTTTTGAGAAACTATACCTTATCTAATTTCAGTATAGTATCAAATTAAAATAGCTACATTACCTAAAAAGCCTATTAAGACATCCTTACCTTTCCCAGTTACACATCTGTGTGAGGCTTACTTTATTCATATATTTCAACCATATCATAACAGATTAAATGTAAAAGCTGATTGAGAATCCACCTGTCCTGCAGTAAGCTAAATATTTAAGAGGTTTGCAAAACTGCAAACCACTATCATTATTCTTTGTTTTGGAAAATACAGTTATTTCTCATAAAAAGTAGTATTTATGTTAATTAAGTGCTGTTTTAAAATAAATTAATAGCCCTGGCTGGTGTAGCTCAGCAGATTAAGTGCAGGCTGCGAACCAAACAGTCGCAGGTTTGATTCCCCATCACAGCACATGCCTGGGTGGCAGGCCAGGTCCCCAGTAAGAGGCATGCGAGAGGCAACCACACATTGCTGTTTCTCTCCCTCTCCTCTCCCCCTCTCTCTAAAAATAAATTTAAAAATCTTTTTTAAATAACATAAAATAATAAATATCTTAAATTTTATGTTTTAATTTCTAATGTAATAAGTACCCATAGATAAAACTCAGAAAAACAAAAGCTCTTTCAGGTTCATAACAACTTTGTGAATATAAAGAGATCAAGAAATTTGAGAACTGTTGGCCAAGGCACAAGGAACAAATTAACCCAAAACTTAGCAATGTAAAATTGTATCTATTATTTCACACAGCTTCTAAGACTCAGGAATCCAGAAGTAGCTTAGCCGGGTGGTTCCACTTTACAGTCTCTCACGAGACTGTAGCAAACTGTGAGTCAGAGCTGCAGTCTCTAAAGATTTGACATGAGTTGAAGGGTCCTCTTCCTGACTAGTCACCTGGCTGTTGGCCAAAGACTTAACATTTACAGCCAATTATGTGTGCTATGTTCAACTGAGTCAGTTCCTTCTCCTAAGACCTTACAAACGAGTAAGTCCACAGTGTCCCGTCCTCAACAGCCCTGCCTGAGTCCTGTAGACTCAGGCCTATGGCTTCTTTAACAAAGTCGATCCTCTTAGTTCCCTTTTACCATGTTCTTTTCTTTCCTGATTTTGCCCTTGTTCCATTTCACCGAAATATTTGGTCGAAGTTAACAGGAAAGCCAACAAATTCACTATATCTTTGAATATAAAGGTTTATTAATTTGGTATTCCCCCAACCACCAAAAAAGTAAAATTACAGAGAAAAAGTGCTAATACTATTATTACCTGCCTGCCCCCAAACTAAATGTTATCTGTTGTCCATCTATAAAAAAACAAGGCAGAAAATATTAACATTACAAAATACAAAACAAGGAACAAAGTTGAAGGTCTCACACTTCCTTATTTCAAAGCTTATTAAAAGTTGCAGTAGTCACAACAACAATGGATTTGGAAATGATTTCTTAGATATAAAGCCAAAAGTACAGGCAACAAAAGTAAAAATAGATAAATTACATCAAATGAGAAGCTTCTGTGTATCAAAGGTGTGATACTGTGATTTATAATAAGAAATATATATTTGGGTTTCATCCCCATTTCTGGAACAGACTACTAAAACCCTTAGAATCTTCCATGTGATAAGAACAATAAAGATGTGTTTTGTTATTCATTACAAGCCCCTTTCAACCACCTCTGAGTTTATGTTAATGAGCTGTTTTGTTTAGAAAGCAGTTAAGGATGGGGGTGGGGGTCAGGGCAGGGGCACTAATCATAATTCAAGTGTTAAAACTTTCAGCCCTACTCTCCGCACTCCAGGCTGGGGAGAGGAGCTAGAGGCTGCATTAATCAATATGTCTATGTAATGAAGCTCAAAAGCACAGGGATTGGAGAGATTCTTGGTTGGTGGACACGTGGAGAGAACACAGAGAGACCATGAAAGCTCAGCCCTTTCCCACGTACCTTGCCCTGTGCATCTCTTCATCTGGCTATTCTTGAGTTATAATCCTTTATAATAAACCAGAAATCTAGTAAGTAAAATGTTTTCCTGACTTCTGTTAGTCATCCTAGCAAATCAGTTGAACGCCAGGAGAGGCATGTGGGAACCCTCTATTTATAGCCAGAGGGTCAGAATTATAGATAACAAGCTATCCAACTGATGTCTGAAGGGCGATGTCCGTCTTGTGGGACTGAACCCTTAATGTGTGGGAACCCTTATGCCATCCACATATAAGTTGCTTCAGAACTGAGGGAAACTGTAGGACACCCAGCTTGTGTTGCAGAACTGAGGATGTGAGGAGCACCCACACATCTAATGTCAGAGTATTTATTAAGAGGAGAGGAGACATATAGGAGGAGAGGTGTTTTTCTTTAACAAAAGGAACAACAGAGTGAAAAGGCAACCTAAAAAAAGAAAGAAAATATTCAAAATATATATAGAACTCCTACAACTCAACAACAAAAAACAACACACTTAACATGGGAAGATACTCAACATCCTAACCAATAGGCCAATAGGGAAATGCAACAGGGAAAATCAACTATGATCAAATACCAGCTGACACTCATTAGGATGGTGACTAGAAGCGCAAACACACACACACACACAGAATGGGGAGAAGGAGGGAGAGAAACAAATGTTGGTAAAAAAGTGGAAAAATTATGTAATTCTTGTGCATAATTATGAGAACCCCTATATATTGTTTATGGTGATTTCCTCAAAAAATTAAAAGCAGAATTACGAGATGATACAGCAATTCTGCTTCATTTATATACCCCCAAAAATTGAAAGCAGGGTCTTAAAGAGATATTTGTATATCCATGTTCATAGCAGTACTATTCACAATACCAAAAGATTGTAGCAATCCAAGTATCCATCAACAAATGAAGAGATAATGATACAGGGTGCAGCGGGGGGGGGGGGCTCAAAAAGATTTGCAATGGTGTCCAGAACTCAAAGTGTATAGGAATATTGGGGAGACATATAAGTCTTTCTACTCCTTCCCCCCACAGGTGTGAGTTGGGGGAAGGGACACATGGAGCAGGAACATGCAGGGCTGTTTTGTACAGCCACAGCCTTGCAGCTAATCAATGGCAGGGTCATTTAACATATCTATAGCCTTTGGTGGGTCACTTGGATATGTTAAATGGCTACGGCCAGGCTTGGAGCCAAAGGGATAAAGTCACTTCCCCCAAGATGTAACTGGGGGCAGGTCCCCCAAGTTACAGCACCTGCATGGGAGCTTGGAGAAGACTGGCTCCAGGACATGGGCTATAACTGCCCAGACTAACAATGGCAGCCCAGTAAACTTGTAATAATACATAAAACTGGCAGGTGTAACTGATCATGGGAGGAGTTGGAAATAGGGGTACAGAGGAAGATTGGCTCAGGGATTTAAAACCCAGAGTGATGCGGGAAGCTTTGAAGAACATTTGTTTACCCAAACCCCAAGCACCCTAGGAAGAACCCTAGATGTTCACAAGGGCTAAGATTAGCCCCCCCCCCCGCCCACTCCCCCCCACCTCCCCACCCCCCCACCCCCCCACCCCCGCAGTCAGAACTAATTTCCGCATTTAGCCTTTGTACCTACCTCTGCTTCTGCCAGGTAGGTATATGGAGCCCTATAGCTAGAACTAACTTCCGCATTCTGCTTCTGTATCCCGCTTTGCTACTTAGACAGGAAGACCCCGTAGACTATATAAACCCCAAGAATCCTTTGTTCGGGGCTCAGAATTTGGAGACTGACTCCTATGGGCCCGTGCACGTAATAAACTTCTCGTGCTTTCCTCTATCTCCTCTCAGTGTGAGTTTCTTCCCACAACAAGAGCACAGCAGCCATTAAGAGGGGAGAGCCACGAGGTTTGGGGCAGAGTGAGGACCCCTGAAGTCATGTAGGAGAGAGCTATGCAGTTTTGAGCAGAGTGAGGACCCCCTCTTGGTGAGGTGAAAGGGAAAGCCACGCGGTTTCAGCAAAGTAAGGGTTCCCTCTTGGCGAGGTAAAAGAGAGAGCCATGAGGTTTCAGCAGAGTGAAAGAGTACCACGCAGCTTTGCCAGAATGGAGATCCCTGCAGCCAGGTGAAGAAGAAAGCTACATGCTTTTGGTGGAGTGCAGACCCCTGCAGCTTTGGTAGAAGAGGCCCACGCAGCTTTGGGGTGCCCCCTTTGGCCATGTGGCCTAGAAAGCAGGAGAGACTTTGACTGGAACTTGGTACAAAGAACTCTTGCCAGTGGACCGTAGGAGGGTACCACATGACTTTGGATTAACGAGAGATCCTGCCTGCACAGTGACACAGCTGATGGTGCCAGCGGCCTGAAACACAGACGTGTGCTCTTTTCCTGATTTACGGTACCCGGAGTTGGGACAGTGGGAGAAGGGAGAGCTGTGTGGGTGTAGGTGTATACCCTAAAGGACTTTGATATTTTAGTGGAGGCGTTAGGCCTGAATAGCATTAAATAAACATTCTGTTTCCTTTTCACAAATCTCTGGCATGGAGAGATGTCTTTCCAATTGGCAGTGGACAGAAGAGCCCAGTAGATATTAGTATTCCATCCTTGGGAGGGGCCCCAGTTGTTCTGTAGCAGTTTTTGGCGTCCCTAGGTGGGCCAAATATTGCCCCCCTCCGGACCTCTGTTTGGTAACAATAATATGATATATACATATAATAGAATATTACTCAGCCTTTTGAAAAGAAAGGAAAATTCTGACAAAGTTACAACATAGATGAACCTTGAGGACATTATGCTAAGTGAAATAAGTCATGCACAAAAGGACAGATACTATATGATTACACTTATAAGTTACTTAAAACAGTAAATTCATACATAGAGAAAGAATAGTGATGTAGGGAGTATCAGTGAATGAGGAGTTATTTAATTAGTAGTTTCAGCTTTGCAAGATGGTGAGAGTTCTGGAGATAGGGTATATAATCATGAATGTACTTATGACTAAAAAAATACAGAATATATTACATTGCACTGTGCTTATATCTAAATAACATACACAGGATTAAAATTTAAGATATATAAAATCAATTCAGCACAATATGTAGTGTTTAAATTCTCACCTGATTTTTTTGTGTTAATTCATTAACAGAACTTTTAAGTTTTTGTAGTTCTTGCACATACACAGCAACTTCTTGGGGACCTTTGGCAAGTTCACACCTTAGCTGGCTTATTGTGGCCTAAAAAAAAAAAATAGAGCAAACTAAAATAAAAAAGGAAACGGAATCATCCAAAGGTTTTAAGATTACATAGATGTTTATTGTTATTTTTAAATTGAAATAATCCTTAGAAGTTTCAAGTTGGTTCTTTATCCTATCACCCTACTGCAATCCCACATTGCTTTTGCCTAAAAATAGTTTTCAAAACTTACCCAAATTCATAACTTCATTTATTTAATAATACATAAAATGAAACATTGACATCCTACTTTATGCATCTGAGGTAAGCATCAAACTGCAAACTTGAATTTACTGACTTTGAAACTGTACTTTAATCCTCCTTAATTTAAAAAGAATATTCAAATTACACCTATATTTTCTCCCAATTTCTATTAACATAGCCTTTTACTTTTATTTTAAAAGCATATTAAATGCAACTATACAACACAGAGTCACATGAATCATCTTTTTTACTGTAAGGGAAACTGTACATAAAAGTTATAAAAATACATTTTAACATTGATAGTGAAAATTAATCTCCATATTTAACACAATGATTTGATCATTTAAAAATAACGTAAGAGAAAGGTAAGCAGATTTTGGAAATACAAACTTCCTATACATGAAAGCTTAAATACTAGAGAAAAAGACTAAGAACTGAATTTTTGGTATGGTTTCCTATAAGTGACATTAACAAAAGAATTTACTGTTTCTAAAATAGCTTATTGAATTTATGTTTCATTATTTATATTCCTAAAGTTACAATTATTTTCACTGTCTATATTCTATATTAGTATATAAACTTTATAATATGCTAGACAAACTTCAAAATTTTTTCTTAAAAAATGCCATCAACAGTTACCTACATCATATATTACAAATAAGTACTTGCATCTTCAAAGAAGAACAGTTAGAAGGCTATAATTTTTTAACTCATATTTTTTATTGTATTTTTTCCTATTATCATTTAGTTCCCTCTCACCCCACTCGCCCCCTGAAGGCTACTTAATTTATGGTGACAAAAATGTCAACAGATCTTTTGCTACTCCTCTTTTGTCAAGGGGATAATAACCTTCTCTCCTTTCATACAACACGCTACTCCTCTTCTGGAAACCCTTCCAGAATGTGTGGCACCTTTTCTTTTTAAAGCATTCTCATTAGTGGTGTATCTTCATCCATTTACAGTGGCTTTGGTTTTAGGTTTTGGAAACCACCAAGTAAACAAGTTAAGTGACTAAACTGAATAATCAAAGATAGGCTATTTATTTTATTTTATTATTTTAATAACCATAAATTAATGAAACTAGTTTTTTATTGTTTTCCAAACTAGTTTAAAATCAATTCAAAGAGGATTTAAAAACGTTTTCTAGAAGTGACAGCATGTCTGAGATATGTTTATAGATGACCTTTTAAGGAAAACGTTCATGAAAATGAACCAATTCTGATACACTCAAAGGCAATTTGTCACATTACTTTTTTTCTTTTTGTTTTTTATTGTTCAAATACAGTACTTTATAGTTATACCTTATACAGTGTATTTCAATATACTATATAACAACTAGTGTTATATATACATATATATATAAATAATTTCAAAGAAGGAAATGTTTAACTATTCATGCATCTGTAACTTGTGTTCAAATTAAAGGCATATCGTAGTACCTTCTGTCTTAAACTAATCATGTAGCTGTGACATGGACATAGGTTTTGGGAGTTTATTTCTAACTGTTATTTCTAACAACTTGGAATCTCAGAATAATTTTGTTAGTAATATTTTTAGATGTTAATGGAAATATTAGAACAATTTGCTACTTTAAATTACTGTCTTAATCATATAGTACAAATGCCAACTTATCACAAAAGAAAATAAATCCAAAATATAAAGAAAATATATCCAAATATGTAAGTTTTATTTTATAGTTTTTAGACATGTTCTTATAAATGATTTTGTAACATTAACATCTGAAGATCTGAACATCAGATCTATCAGTTATCCTTTGTACATGATCTAAATTTTTTAAAACTAGATGTTTGAAAATATAAAAGCAAGCATTTACATTTTTAAATTTAAGCAAGGGGTGAGAAGAAAGATGAGGAAAGAATATACAACAAAAGGTACACTTTAATTATAGGGAAGGGGAGGGAGGGCAGTGAATTACAAGAACTTGCATTTTATTGCACATTATATATCTTTTACAATGATCAAGTATTATGTTTATATTTGGGAAAAATAAAAACTAAAGAAAGATAAAATTTCCAAATAAATATCATTTTCCAAAAAAATGATATCTGTACATTCCCTGTTCAGATATCACTACGGTGAAATCCAAGCAAAGAAGGTCCTCTGCTTTAGCCGCACTACCTTTACTCCTTACTTAACAGGTCAAGCTCACCTGTGCCCAGGAGGCTTCAGCCCCTGCACTGCCTCTTTCTGCTCCCAGTTCTTCACCCTGATTCCTTCTTACGTCCTTCTCCTCACACAGGTGTTCCTTGAGGAGACCTCCCCTGATCATTCTATCTAAAATTGTCCCACATTTCTGTCAGCTCCACTACTGCATGTCCTGCTTTATTTTTCTTTATAGCACTTAGCATTAATTGACTTGCTAACATGATTTATTTACGTACATATGTATTGTTTGGCTTCCATTTCTTGTGAAGGAATACAAGCTTTATGAGAGCAGGCACTGTCTCATTCACTATTATATCCCTCACTCCTGACTACTGACCTAACTACTGACTATATATATACCTAACTACTGACACATAGGCATTCAAAAAATACCAAAGAAATGAGTGATTCTATCTCTAAGGAGTTAATAGATATGTTTCCATGGAAACAGTAGTTCAGATTCTAAAAATACTTTGTATTCCTTGAAGCCATGTTATTGAATTCAACATTGAACTTTCACTAAAAATCTTTACATTACAAAATAACTAGGATATTTCAGGCAAATATCCTGCTAGTAGTCTAAAATTATAATTATTGTCCCAATAACTACTACTCTTACCAAATAATCATTTAAAGGTGGTTAAAATTTTGCATAATTAATAAAAACAAAAATAAGCATATCTATGAAGACCTGACATTGCCTAAATCATAAATCACCATATGAAGATCAAGGTACTATATTAAAAGTATTACTAATATTAAAATCCTTCCAAAAAAACATTACCTCAAGTTTAAGCATCTCCACGAGAAAGCAGAAAAAATAATAAAATGGTGGATGAAAGGTGGGAAACAAGACCAAAAGTACAGACCGAACACACAATGAAAATGTCAGAACCATGCTGATGAATCTGATTTCTTGTACTAGCATACTTTTAAAAGACATTTATATACTCTCTTTTAAAATCATGCTGAATATAATCACATTTATTCTATACCTTTATCAACATTTTAGCTCCTAGAAGTAAAATTCAAATTAATTTATCTGGAATACAAATAAAATTCTAAAAAAAAGAATTTCTATTAAAGACCACACTAAATGTAAGTGGATTGCAACTTTGATATTTTCAATAATGTAGATCTTTAGAATACCATTTTTAGCTTCAAATCCTTAATTTCTGATCTATAAAATAGCTAATTAGTATATAAAAAGTACTTGTAAATTCTATAGAATGACATATATTATATATATATACACACACACATAAACACACATATATGCACCCTCTAAAATATCTAGAAGCCACCCCCAAAAACCTGTCAATGAATTCATAAGGTATACATTTAATGAAAGTAATGAAATTTAAGGACATATTTAACAGTGTTTCCAGCCTCAACTAGAAATAACAAATAAATCATTGCATTTTTTAGCTTCTTTATTTTCTTTTAATGTGTTTTGTTTCTCATGCCAATATTTAAGTTCAGAAAATTAGTTAATATATAAAATAGTTTTTATTAAGTTCTTTAAGTGCTGTAATTGACCAACACACTTAACTAAGAATAAATAGAATTGAATTTTAATAAGTTAATAAAGTAATGCCATCTATTTAGAGAGTAAGCAAAGGCTAAAAACCAATACAGTTATAAATAAATGAGATGGAATATTTAGTTTTTTTATATAAAAATAATATAAGAAATAACTCAAAAGTAATTTTAAGTTTACTCAATATAAATATTATAACATACAATACAGCAACAGATAAAAAGTAATAGCAACAAGTATTAGATCCATATTAAAAGCACAAATTTACTTTTAAGGCAAATCATCAGACCGCCTGAAATAGAAGATAAAACGGTAAAAAAAAAAACAACCCACAGGCTTTGCACTCTAATGTTAGCTTTCTATTATTAGGGGCACAGCCTTGAACAAGTCGTGTAACCTCACTAAGCCTCAGATTCCTAACATATAAAACAAACTTAAAATAGTACTTAGCTGACAGGGTTAAAAGAAACAAATGGGACCACATATTTAAAGTGCCTAGCATAGTATCCAAAACTAATGGTGAAAACGTTAAGATTTTGTTCCTAATAATAATATTGCTCTCTTATGGTACCATTTCCTGAAGCTGTTAAAAATATTTAAAGAACAATCTGAGGTCTCAGTAACTATATAACTGTTAATTATCTAAGAAGGGACTAATTATCCATGTTTTACTAATGATTAATAAAATATTAAATCACCATTCATCAAGAATAAATCCCTTTATTTTAAAATTTACTTCAAATCATAAGTGTTTTATATAAAAACTTGAAGGAAGTTAAGATGTAAAAAATAAATTTCTAAGCCACTTTTCTTCTTTCCTAAAAAAATCTTCTCTAAAGAAAACACGAATCAAAATAAAAACAAACAAAAAATATTGCTGTTCCCCCATTGAAAGGACAATGTGAGAAGACATGAACACCTTTTCACAAATCTTTTATAACTTTAGCTATAACTTAGTCATCTTAAATAAGCTCTTCTCATCACATACAAAGACATGTTGATCTATATAAATAAAAATATAAACATAAAAAGCTTCCATATTAAACTTAGTATAATTCTTAAGTAAAATATTACTCAAAAATATTTTCCCACATACATTTTCCTTAAAGTGCAAGTGTGTGTATATATGTACACAAATTTCTTCTCCTTGTTCCAATTCTACTTGTGTAACTATAATGCCATAATTCTCAGCTAGAAAAGGTCAGAGAGAACTGTACTTCAACATAGACATATTCTAAAGCTGCCATTGCTCTGATTAAATTTTAGTCACCCTATTGCATTTGTCTTAAAATTTAAAATACCGTTAAAAGAATTTTTAATCAAAAGAGCATTTTTTTAATTTGAGAAATCCTAGGAGGCAGGCAAATTTAATCAAAAATAATTCTTATTGAAGCACAGAAGTAAATGACTGGATTCACCCAGGTTCAAGTATTTTTAATTTAGCATTATCTAAATAGGAATTTCCTTGTGAGACATTATAGGGAACCACTTCAGGTGGTATGAGTAATGTAGCCTAGCCCCTAATTCAGAAAACCAATAGGGAGGGAGTTGGCACACAGAGCCCACGCCCACAGATAGGTTTTCCCATGGGGAATCAGGCCTGCATTATACCTAGGCTGCTATGAGGCTTACTTTTGCTAAAACTCTCTCACCCTGGATTGAAGCAGAAATGTTTACTGCATATCTTTAAAATAACTTCCTAAAGTATGTGCTAAACCTCCCAAGTATGGAGTGTAACCAGTTCAACCACTTTTTCCCCTTGATTTGCAAACATTCCTTTTTTTTTGAAGTAATTAGCAACATTCTTTCCTTTGTTATCTGTAAAAGGTAGTCACCTACGGTGAACCTGTGCATAGTAAATGAGGACCATCCTCGATCTAATGTACCCAGAAAAGCAATAAAAGCCTGTCCAGGAAGGGTTAGGGGCCCTCTCTCTCACTTAGAGTGGCCCTGCCATCCCTTTTCCCCACAGGACTTCTGTAGTCTGTGTGTATTTGTTCATTACAGCCACAACACATGGACCCTGGGGGCCGGGGTCCACATCGAGACATGTTTGGTTCAGCCTCTACTTGATTACACATTAGGAGCTTTTGAGCATCTTTGATAAGTTCATGAACTCCTTGAACTGATGGAAAAAGTGTGGGATTGTGGATTTGTTATTGGGCTATGAAGATCAATTTTGGGAAATCCGTACCTGAAATTCATAAACTTTAAAATCTGAAGGGTTAAGCATCATAAAGCCTCACATGCCTATGAGTGTTCTCTGCATAAACTTTCACCATTCCCCCACTGGTAAGATATATGAAAAAGTAAAAGAAGACATGAGTTGATATTTATACTCCATAGCTCACTAATATATTACCAAATATGAACAGAGTATCTTTTAGATCACTACTTTAAAAACTCTAAGACAAATTAAAAGATCACTATAATTTACTTTTTCCCTAACTTTTTGTTTTTTCTAATTTTTTATTGTTTATGCTATATAGTTGTTCCCACTTTTTCTCCCTTTTCTGAGTTTAAGAACTACAAATAATATAGTCACAACAATACCTCCTATAATACAGTAAAAAGGATAAAAGCCAGTATTTTTATGCAAATATGTTTATTACATATTCTAGAGCTTATATGCTGACATAATTATATAAGGGATTTAAAGGCCAAAGTAACGCCATGCGAGAAATTAAAGAAGGAACTGAGAATGTTTATCCTGGAAGAGAAGAATCTCAGAGTAAACATGAACAGCCTTGCCCTGACCAGCATGGCTCAGCTGGTTGAGCGTCATCCTGCAAAAGGTCACAGGTTGAATTCAGGATTCACGGTCAGAGCACATGCCTGGATTGTGGGTCTGGTCCCAGTTGGGGGCATGTGAGAGGCAACCAATGGATGTTTCTCTCCCTTTCTCCCTTCTAAATAGATAGATAGATAGATAGATAGATAGATAGATAGATAGATAGATAGATAGATAGATAGATAAAATCTTTAAGAAACAAATGGCCTTCAAATCCCTCCTGAGGAAAAAAGAAAGGATTTATTCTGTGTGATTCTTCAGAAGACCTGGAACCTGTGCATGTAAGTTACAGGGAACTCACTGGAATGGCTAACTTTTGAAGAAATATGAACTCCTACATCATCTAGCAAGAGTAGTGAATCTGTTATCAGAGATGCTTCCTTTACCCCTGGCTTAACTGAAATAAGCTCAATCACCACTTACTGACTAGCCAGCAGCACATACAATTTTAAGTATTATCTCTACACAATATACATAATTCATTAAATAGCACAATACACTTTTAAGAAAACATTCTTCTCAGAGTATCTAGCTACATAAAACAGAAACAAAAATATTAACTTTCACCCATACTGACTATATACAAATATTACTCAGAGTAAATGAAAGAAAGGTGAATACTATTTTGTTAGGTCACTCAGAAAAATCTCAAATATTGATTATTTCGACAGTATAAACAAGTTAATGTCAATCACATTTAAGTACACTGAACTTCATTACCTCTGAGTTAGCATAATCTGCTTGTAACTTTTTGCACTCATCTTTGAGTTTTTCAGATTCTCTCTCACGTTCCAAGGTCATGTTATCCATTAGTGTCTGAACTTGAACTAGTTCTTTCTTTAACACAGCAACATCTTCTATACCAGGTCTCTGAAGCTATGAAGCAACAACACATATTAATTAAAAATTATAGTGAAAAACTAAAATAATAAACATTTTAAATGGTTCCACCACAAAGAAATCAAAATGAAAACAATCTTTAATATCAATTACTGAACTCTAAACATCACACAGATTCCTTCCCATAATAACCATCTCCTCTTCCCATTCTATCTTATAATTAATAGTATTAACACTCCAGGTACAATATAGCAAATTCCCAATTATCCTTAGGACTTTCTTTGCTTTCCTTTCTTGCACAAACTACACCCATTGGTCATAACAATCACTTGATAAAAGTTTACATTCCTTCATTTTCCATCCTAAGAAACTGGTAATAAAAATGAAGAAGGAACAGATGTAAGCATAATTATGGTTTGTTGTAGGTTGAATATAGTTGATTCATTCATTTATACACTTATTGACTGCTAAATAAAGAACAGAGTCAAAAACAGGTCCAAGACTGTTAAACCTGGTAAGTACTGAAGATGTACAGTACCAATGAAAGAAATACAGTTATGGAGAAGATACAATGACTTGATGTTATACTTAATTGAATTCAAAATAAAAGCTAGAAATGCAACTAGAAGTATCCTAAAGTAGGTGGGTTTATAAAACTAAAGTGCAAGGGAAGACCAGGATCAGAGATACAGATACTACTAAAAAGACAGATGATACCGAGATAGAAACAACAAAAATGTTAAGGTAATAGATTATGTATCACAAAATTCCATTTTGATTTTTAAAAATCATATATAGTATATATGAAGATGGAAGAAGAACTACAGGGAATTTTATTTCCTCCATTTTATTCAAGCTATATATTTTTTTAATTTCATCACAGCGGGTATTTCATTTTTAATTTAGAAGATTATAAAATACATTCTAATAAATGGTTTGTAAATTACCAGTTCAGTCTTCAGATCTTGAATTATAGTCGCCTCTTTGTTTAATTCTTCTGTAAAATGTGACACTTTTTGTTCAGCAGCTTCTCGAAGACTCCTTTCTTCATCATATTTTGACTTTATATCTAAACAAAGATTATGTTTCATGAGATTAACTCTAGAAGACAGTTTTAGAAATTCCTGTACATTGCAGTGCATATCTATATACCACTTAATTCAAATTCACATTCCTTAGATAACCTAATAAAAGTATACTTATGATTACATTAAATGAACTTTAAAAATCTAATGTTTGTATATATAGTATCCTACTAAATAGAGTTTTAGTGCATATTTAATCATATATAATATTTTAGCTAAAGTATGTAGTTAGTAAATAATATATGTAAATGATAGTATAAATCAAAGGTTAAATCTATATATACTATGTTATTCAACATTTTCAAAATGTTCTTTGTTAACCTTTAAGATATCCTTCCCACCCAATTCAAGACAAATTCAACAGAGAAAATCAGTCCTTTGAAGGGAGCACGTGGGAGGACAAACAAAATAATTTACATAGCAATTATGTTATTAAATTGCAGTAATAACCACCATACTCTATAACACATACTTTATCACTAAATACAATATTTATTTCTAGGCTATATAATGGCAAAAAAGAAATAAAACTAATATATCAGCTAAAAAATTTTTATTCAATTTACCTGCAATTTCAGTGGCAAGTTGTGCTGCTTTCTGCTCAAATAAGTCTTTCATTTGCTTAATATTAAAATTTTCTGTTTGGGCTTCTTCTAACTGTCGTTCCAAAGAGTGAAGTTCTACAAAAAAGTATATCATTTATTCAAATACAATGTTATTTACATTGGCTAACTTATATCATAATCATTGCACTAGTTAAAAACAATTAACATGTCTATTACCCATTATGAGTATCTTCATATTTTAAGAATTAAACATATGGTTTATTTAAGGCATAAGTCATCATTTACAAACATATAAAATAAGTGAAAGAAGTATTTAACATCACACCCAAATAATCTATAAGTATTTCTTTAAAAATTATTTTGATTTCACATTTCATAGTTATTTCCCTATATCTTTCAACTGACTAGAAAGGAACACACATATTCTTCTTCTCTGAAAAGAAATTTGTAATAATGTGAAAAAAATGAGAAATGGTTTAAAAATAATCAAGGTCTTAAGTAAAATAATCAATTAAAATAGGCAATCAAGTCCTTCATTCTCATAATACTTCTTAAAGATCCCAATTCTCATAAAGAAAAGAGATTTCGGAGGGAAGCTAAATATGGACAAAACTAACCTCAAAAATAATTTTGATTCATTAAGCATTCCTCCAATTAAAGTTAGTTTCAAAGATGCTAGTTTCATCATTTTAAGAGAAAAAGATTACATCACTCTTTGATAACAGATTTAACTTTTCATTAAACAACCATATCAACGTAATCCAGAAGTTTATAACTTTATAATAAAATAAACAAAACACTAAGATTTCAGTACACTGATTAAATTAGAGAGTTCACAGGTAACAAGCACTGCAAACTTAGAATATTATTGTTCTCTTCACTATTTTAGAGCCATAAAGTATAACCACAAAACAAAAATCATATAGCAGGCATAAGAGAAAAAGAAAAAAGTAAGAAAGAAGAATGAGAAAGACATAAAAGAGAAATGAAATAGCTGCTTTAAGTAAAGTTACCTGCTGATGAATCAGCCACCAATCCATCAGGTTTAGACTCCTCAAAGAAAACATAAGACACACACAAATACAATGTTAAAAAACATCTCTGAAAGACGCAATCTCTCAGGTAAGAAGATTTTGATAAAAGTTAAATTTTGGCCTACTCACATTCTTCCATATCTCTAAGATAACATTAGGCACATTGTCATAATAATTTAAATGCATCTCACTGGTTCTAAGAATGTTTTTATGTTAACATATAAGAAATTACTGTTTCTTGCAGTAGATGGCACCTTAAATTCCATAAATTCAGTAATAAGAAAATATAAATTATTACAATTAAATGGATTCTAAAGCAAATAAGTTAATAGGCAAAATTCAATCCTATAATATTTGAAAATTAGCATATGATAAATATTCCAGGGAACTATCACTATTAAAAAAATGGCTTTAAAAGCATAAACTTTTAATTCAGGATTATAAACCATCTTTTAAAAAAGCAAAAATAAAGAATATATTCCATAACATTTAATTTATCACATGCATTAGAACAAAATAATGTACTGCTTCATCAGTATTTTCATATACTAAAAAGTTATTCACATCTGATTAGTGTTTGATGAAGTATCTCATGATATAGCTGGATTTTTCCTATTCTTTGGATTTGGACATTATGATTGCTAAGAATCATCAATATTTCAAACACATTTTTCCCCAAAGTTAAATCTCCAAATAAGTCAATTTATACCTAGCACTGTGGAAAATTTATTTAATTTATTAAACGTGAAATAGTCATCTCAAATGTAGTTAGGAATTTCCTGTCTGTTTTCAAGTACAGACGATAATACAGATCATCTGTTAATGGCATCACATTAATGGCATCCATGTAAAAGATGAGTAATTGAATCACAAGTATTTTAGATTATTAAAAACCTCTTTAATGCAACCTCAGTTAATAGAGGCTGAGTAGTAGCAAGACTGATACCTTGTTATCCACTTATTTGTTTTTGTCTTTTCTAATCCAAAGGACAATTTTTGGTGAAAAGACTAAAAGGCAAAGGGACTGACTGAGAGTCACAATATGCTCAGGTAATCTGCAAGGAGATCACTAATTACTTTATGAAAATATTAAAACTGTTGTTGAAGGGTATTCATTTTATTCTTACAAATGAAAACTATATACAGATTTGGTAAAATTCATTATTCTACAATTCTTTATGCAATTTATATCATTTTAGTACAGAAGTCAATATAATTTTAGTATAAAAATCATAATTGGTTAAGATATTTACTTACAAAATACTCTAAACTATAAAGAATCAGGATATTAAAAGAATCTTAGTTGGAGATAACCAGTTTTTGACAGCACAGTGATTTTCTTGTTTTTTTCTAGTATCACTTTATGTGGTTAAAGTCATATAATATATACATGTCGGTGTGTATGCACACACATATATAAATATTTTATTCTGTTTTCAAAACCTGACATTGTTAATACAAGTTTTCCCACATTTTCAAACACCTTTCACTATAACAGTTAATAATAATTCTTTCCCTTAACACACATTTTAGTCATTTCCAACTTGTCAGGACCACAAATGCTTTAAAGAGTTTCACTATTGTTTAAACCTGTATTATTTTTACCATTTAGGTACATTGCTAGAATAAAATAATGCAGCCTATTATAAAAAAACAATCCACAGATAACTGATTTTTAATAGAGCACCTTTAAGAAGTTACATCTCTCATTCCCATACATGTCTTGGCTATTAAACACAGGAAACAAATTAGGAACTTGTTTCTATCAGGCCTCTTGCTTACAAAAAAAGCATTATAATTAATTTTCAACAATGACATCAACTAATAAATATACTTCAAGCATTTAAAAACAATTACTTGCTGCTGCAGCCCTTGAAATTTTTCTAATTCTTTTTTTAATTCTTCTGAATACCATTTTTCTTCCTAAAAAGAAAAAGATTTAATTAGCAAATTTTAAAAGATTTCTTACCGGAAACTCTGAAAATAAACAAATATAATCCTTGTTAACCTTACCTTAAGTGAAGCCTGTAGGTCTTGGACCTCTTGTCTAAGTAGTGTTACATCATCTCTAAACATATTTGGGGCAGGGGTGGGGGGATGGAGAATTAATAGTTAATGTTGTTTAATTAACAACCTGCTCTCTTAACAATCACAGCTAGTGACTATATATTGATATTCTAGTTTTCTCAATTAAAAAAAAATAAAGACTCTTGCAGATTTTATATGTACTGGATTAATTTACCAACAACCATCAATGGTTTCCTAGTGTAGTTAGCATAAAATCTAAACTCATTAACAAGAAATATAAAATCTGCAGCATCTAGTCCCTGCCTTATCACTGTATACTGTACCCCTCATTCACTTAGCTCTGTTCTTTAAGCCGGACATGCTGTTCCCTGTGGAAACTTCTCACATTATTTCCCTCACCTAAGAGTCAGTATGAAAAAGAATGGTGAGCCAAGATCCACTGTAGGCCCTAATGCAAGAAAGATGCCATGATAAAATACTTTTGGAATTGTCCTTCTAGATATTTGGACATATCTTCCCTTTTGGATTATAAATCTCTTACACACACACACACACACACACACACACACACAATTCTTGTTCCTTGTAACTACTAATAGCTGCCATGGTAGAAGACACAAGAACTGAAACGAGTTCATTAGGAGTCCTCAAATGAACTGATTCAAGGATGAAGGGAATAGGAGAACAAGGTCATTTCTAATGAGGAGAAGACCAAGTCCACATCAGCACAAGCATTTATCAGCAAGGTAAAAGACAATGAAACATATTGATAGGAGAATTCTTCTCTAGAATGAGGGCAGAGATAGAGAATAAAAAGACAGAGTCAGCTTCATATGTGAAATAAGGTTAATAGTGAAAAAGAAAGAAAATTGCCAACTAAGAGAAATGTAAAAGATGGAGAAATAAGTCCTCTAACTTTTATAGCTATTCATAAGTAAGGAATTCATTCATTATTCAACAGGCATTTGTTGCCTATTCTTGTTTTGTTGCTAATTCTCTCAAGCAATTTGTTGCTAATTCTCTCAAGTTGTTCAAACTAATGGGAGAAGTGAACGCGTAAATATGTATGAGTAATAGACTATCATCAGTTCTATGATACAAATAAAAACAGATAAAAAGATAGTGGCAACTTCTACCTAGCAGGGCTTCATGATAGAAACTCTGAGAGAAAGTCTATAATCTTCTGAATACAAAAGTAAAGTTTAATAACAGAGTCCTGCTTTTGTTGATTCTTAAAATTTGTTTTCTTGTAAAATTTTCATTAGTCCTCATTTCCGGCACGTGTGTGTGTCCCCCACAACTCCCTCTCTCCCATATGGCTCTACCAACTAACCTCGTGTGTAGAAATCACACGAGAACATTTAATGTAGGACACTTAGTCTTCACATGTGTATGGAAAACTGTGGGTGCGTTTTAAGTTTTCTCTACAATTAAGTGATCTTCCAGCTCTATGTATAAACTAAAATGATGAAGAAAGAAAATAATAACAGAATACTTAAATGGCTCGCATAAAATGTAATGAAATTCCAATCAGGATAATTCCAATTCAACTTCTAAATTGGTAGCCCCGGTTGCTCCAATTACTCTTTTTTAAAGTGCCACTTCAACAAATTTGTTGAAGTGAAAGTAATTTGCCTACAACAGAAAAATCTTCTAACGTATAACATAAAACATCTTAGGATATTTATAAAAGAAAATTGGCAACATCTATTAAAATTTTAAAGAGAAATTTTGTCCAAAAATTCCACTTCTAGAAATTTACCCTACAGATATACTCATTCACATACAAATGATACATCCACAAGGGTATATATCATATCATTTGTAATTGCAAAACACTGGAAATACCTTAAATGCTCATCAATAGAAGAATGATAAAATTCCATGCTGTCATTTAAAAAAAGTGAAACAGCTTTATCAGCATTTATGTAAAGCAATTCATAAGATACTCGGAGAAATAGAAGGTGCTGAACATTGTAGAACTGCTCTTTTATGTAATTACAGAAATTTAAATATTTTTATTTGTACATAGATATAAACATATGGGTATATAGGTATAGACTATTTCTGAAAGTATATGCAGGAAACTGATAAACAGTGAGGGGCTAGAAAAGAGTGGCAAGTAATACATTTTTACCATATAACTTCTTGAATCATCTGAATTTTGCATTCTGTATATACTATCCATACATACATTTTAAAAATATGGTCTCCACAAAATTATTAATGCATCAGATTTCAAATATGTAACTGATGTTGATAAAATTCATGTGTAAAGTGATAAACAAAGAGTTTTAAAGCAAAAAGGTTTCATGACCCACCCAACTCATGTGGGCTTTTGATCTAAAAAACATGAGGTGCCCACAGTCACATGTTATCCTCTGTGTTAGCGAGGGACAGGATTAATTGTCAGAAACTGCAGAGATATAGAAAAATGAGAATAGATACAGTAAGAGATAAACTAGTGAAAATTACTACTTAGAGCAACAGCGATCAAATTTGCACCTTAAGATTATTACCTTGGAAGCAATATAGAGTTCATTGGAGAGGTACAAGACTGAAGGAAGAGAGCCAACTGTAAATACTGAAAAAAATATTTTTGAGTGAGAGATGAAGCCTAAAATAAGCTGCAGCACTAAATATGGAAAAGGTTATGAGAGCTGTTCAGGAGATAGAATTTTTTAATTACAGGTGACATGCAATATTATATTAGTTTCAGGTTTACTATATAGTGATAAGACATTTATATACCTTATAAAGTGATCACCCCAACAAGACTAGTACCCCTAAGGGAGACAAAATTACCTAGAGTTTGTAACAGGTCAGATAGCGAAGCAGAGGCAGGTATGTAAAAATAAGCAAATTCAATTTTCTGGCTTTAGTAACTGGGTGGAAAGATAACGCTGCCAGTCACCAGAAGAGGTAGATAATGAGTAGGTTTAAAGTAACCATAATAACCCCTGTTTACAAAATGTCAACAGTGAGATGTTTCTTTGGAACATCTATGTGAAGATACCTAATAGGCATCCCAGGAAATAATTCTGTGCTGGAGAGGTAGTTTAGGAGGAAGTCATGGATGTGGATACAGAGCAAGATGAGACACAAAACAGATCAAGAAAGAATAATCACAACTGTATGTTATCTCAGACGAGTAGAAAGAAGAGAGTAAGCAAAGCCAAATTTTGCAGATTGTGGTAGTTAATCCAGAAAGATGGCCGCCATCAAGTTCTTCCCTTCATATTTACAGAAGCCACTTCTCTACTGACAGAGTTTGCTTCTTGGCCTCTTGAAACTGAGCTGGCCCTCAGATTCCAGAGTACCTGTGTGGCACTCTGACCAACAGAATGTAGCTTAAGTGAGGCTCTGACACTTGTGAAGCCGGGCCTGAAGAAAATGAGCAGCTTCTGGCTTCTTTCATCTTGAAATTCTCCTTCTCAGAACACAACTGCTGGTCGGTTAAGTCCAAGCAGCCACATGAAGAAGCCTGTAAGTAGGAGAACTAAGGCCCCACATATAGCCCCAGCTGAGCTTCCAGCCAGTATCCAACATCAATTCCCAGCAATGAATTTAAGGCCATTTTGGATCTTTTGGCCTTCCCAGTACCCCAGTCTATATCACTTACAGCAAAAGAACCATCCAGTCAACCCAAAAAATCATAAATAATAAACTGTTATAGTTTTAAACCACCAAATCTTGGGTGAATTGTTAAAAGGAAATAGAGAACCAAAACAAAAGTCAAGTAAGATACCAAAGGGATTCACAACAGGCCTCCCCAAGATGTGCTACTTTGGCATGGGGATTATTTTGAGCTGAAGGCAATGGAGATCCTACAAGCTCAAGAGAACCGGTACTGTTCCCTTAAAGAATTTAAACTGAGGACTTGCCCACAAAAGTTATCACCAGAAATAACTTTTTAGGACCTAGGGCAGGGAAAACTTCTAATTATTTAATATCTGCTCTTTTTATCCTAGGAATGACCTTCCTCCCCTCTGAAACCTTAAAGGTGCCTCATCTCATTTTTCAGCTCAGAATGTCATAAATGCTCATTTTTACCCTTCTTTATTTGAAACTCTCATGCATGTGGTGTGTCTAACTCTTTCACATATATAGGGTTCCCATGAGTACATATGTAATTAAATTTGGTTATTTTCTCTTGTTAATCCATCTTAAGTATTGATTTAATTATTAGACCAGCTGAAATAACCCGGGATGGTAAAGGAAAATTTCTTCCTCATACACAATAAGAACTGAAAATAATCCAGGTTACTCTTAGCCTTCAAAGGAACAGTTTCAGGAGAATGGTAGGGCAGATTCCAGGCCTTGACTTGCTAAACATTAAATGACAGTCAAGGAGCAAAAATAGCCCTGACTGGTGTAGCTCACTGGCTTGGACGTCATCCTGCGAACCTAAAGGTCACCAATTCAATTCCTAGTCAGGGTACATGCCTGGGTTGCAAGCCAGGTATCCAGGTGGGCACAGGTAAGAGGCAAGCAATCACACGTTGATGTTTCTCTCCCTTTCTTTAACCCTCCCTTCCCTTCTCTCTATATGTAAATAAATAAAATTTGTTTTTAGAAAAAGCAAAAATAAGTATAGACTGTGGATAATTTTATGTTGAAAATTCATATACTGGCACTAATTTATAGCTGAAAAAGCAACTGTTAAATTGATATATATATATAAACATTTATAATGTGCTTTAAGTACATATTTTATATAAATTTCCTAACAAATGACCAAAGTTGTACTCAGAATTATCAACTCACACATAAAAATACTGAAGAGCATTAACAATCAAGTAAAAGGGGAGAATCATAATTCTGAAAAGCACTGCTTTTTCCAGATATTTTAATAAGTTAAAACAGTCATATTTTATAATTCTATATTATCTAACAACCAGAGTTACTGTGATCATAATGTTTTTTCTTTACGTGATATTCTTTGTGTTATAGCAGATTAAGCAAGAGGCATCCTTTTTTGCTTTTAAGAGAAGCATGAAAAAAAATTTTTACAAGTAGAATGAAATCAAACTTGCTTCCTTAGTGGTGGTATAAGACAAGAGTTCTCAACAATAGCAAAAGAAAAGCAAAATTATATTGCTGTGTTATTCTAAGTAATTATAGTTTAGTTTAATTTAATTTTTAAAATGGCGAGGCAAAATTGTCAAGAAGCAGAATGTATATGTGTGTTTACTGTTAAATTGGTAATTACAAAAGAAATTTTTGAAAATAATTCTGAAATTTTAAATCTTTGCTATATTTATTATTTAACAACTTACCATAAAATCTTCTAAACAAAGCATATATTCTTTATTAAACAGAATATGATACATATAACTTAACCATCTTTTGATAACTTACAATCTCCATTAAAAACATAACTTCTAGACCATACTACAGACACTAATATAGATCACTGCTGGGCAAGAAAAGAAAAGGTTACAATAGTAAAGGAGAAAAGCTATGCTGAGGATAGACTTAAATTAAATCACATAAAAATACTGCTATTTTCACAAACTAACTATTCATCTGTAAACAGTGACATTACATATGTTCATAACATTGCACTTCAAAACTATTATACCATACCTACCGCTTCAGGGCAAGATTAGCCTCCCCTCCGTGACCTGAATCATTACCAGCATCATGAACTGCCTCATAGTGTTTGAAAAGTTCATCAGCAGATCCAAGAGATTTCATACACTGGGGACATATGAAACCCTGTAGAAAAGGCAGAAAAAAATATTTCAAAATACTGTTTAATATTGCAAAATAATTATTTGTATATTATGAAATATAGTCAAGTGTCTTATTCACACAATGGTGCCAATAAGTACGTTATAATTTGGTATTAACCCCAAATTCTGGTTTTGTACACAGGTACATCACTGTCTCTTCTGATTGGAGTTTATAAAATATAAAGAAATCCCTTACAACCATTTTTTAGGTTGAATAAATTAATGGCTAAAGTATACAATTCTAATCTGTGAAATTAGTTCTAATTCGGAGGACCAGTAGAGAACATACGCCATTGTATCCTCCCTCTCTCTAGATATCCCCATCAATAAAATAATCTCTGCTCCAATCTACTTCATAGGAATGAAAACAATAAAATTAAGAATATGAAGCACTCTCATCACTGAATGAGGAAATGGGTAATATAATATATAACTCATAACTACCAGAGTATCTACAGTGCTTGAGAAGTAAATCTTCTCACTACTCTAAGATAAATACTGCAAAAGCCTAAAATTAATATACAGACCCATAGAATAGAAAAAACTTACAAATAATCCCAGAATTATTAAATGGTTATGGGGTACCAAATCCTGCATGACTATCCCCCCAAATGATCTCTTGACACCTCTCTCTCCATACAGCATGCTTCAACAATACTAAAATACTGAAGTACCTTTTTAAAATATACTTATTTATTTTATTATTATTATTATTTTACTATTCACCCCCCTTTCACAGCTAAGAAAACAGGGCCACAGAGGTTAACACCTTGCCCAAGAGCACAGAGTGATGAGAGGCCAAGCAGGACTCAGGCCTAGGCTACCCTATGCTGCCGAGTTGCACCCTTACCGACTGGGCACTCTGCCTCTCCTGCCGTCATTCCTACCACGGTGGGCAGGGGAGAGGAGAGAGAAGCACTTAGTGGCTACCTGCCCTGGGCCAGGCACTTGACAAACACCTGTATGCTTTAATCTCATTAGAACCCAGTGAAGAATGAGCCATGACACAGCTCATGTTAGGAACAAGACCAGAGAAGTCTAATCACCTGCCCAGGCTACAGAGCCTAGGAAGGGGTCAAGCTGAAGTCCAAACTTCAACCTGAGTTCTGTTCAGAAGGTTCCTGCCCCAACCCAAAGGGCCCCTCCCCAATCTGCATGGGGATGGGGACCAGGAGGAAGGGAAAGAGAAGAGGGGTGGGGAAACTAGGCTTCAGAGGGTATCGTCAGGCCTGGCAGCTGTCTCAGGCTTCCCAGGGGTCCACAGGAACCTCCAGATCTTTTCCCCACCCTTGCCTGGCGTGAGTGGAGGACTAGAAGCAGTTCTGGTATTCTCTGGGGTAAAACAACAGCCTCAGGCTTCACTCCAAGGGACCAGAGGTAAGGTCCTGTGGATCCCCCTTCCTGGGCATCTGTCAGCTGCCAGGGATGGGTGGGTATTGCTAACCCCTGTACTCTTCAGCGGCACCTCCTGATCCATGGACTTGGGCAAACAGAAATAAGGCCTGTAGGTAGGCACCTCCTCCAGAGGACAAAGTTAACAACCCAGATTGCCAGGTAGCAGGTCTGGAGAGCACGGGGCAACTCAGCCCAGAGCAACTCTGAGCCCAGAAATCCAAGGATGGTAAGGGAGCTGCAAAGCACACCAGCTAGGATATAAGTGTTGCCTCCTAGGATGAAATTGGTGATGACACAGCCTCTACTCAGGGCTTCAGCCTGAGTCCCCTCTAACCCAGCCTCTGCTAGCCCCAAGAAAGGGACAAGGTGGGTGGGACCAACTCTGTGGCTAAGGACAAATGTATGGAGGGGAAGGGAGCAGATGCATGGTGGGGAGGCCAGAGGGGCCTCACCAAAGCAGGCACCACTCGTACAGCACAGCCAGGAGTGTGGACAGGAGTGTCCCAGCAGCAGCTACCCCTAGCCATGAAGCCCATACGCCATCCTAACAAAGCAGGGACTCCTCCTCCTCTGTCCTCAGCTAAGGGGTAGCATGCAGCTCAGGGTTGCTCACCAGAAGGTCAGTGCTGGGACCCTCAGCCATATGGATGTCAGGACATTCACCAACACAAACTCATTCTCCTCTGGGGCACTGTCAGGTTCTGGGCCCAAGGAGTCACAGCTGATGGCAAAGTCCACAGAGCAGCCAGAGAATAGCTGGCTGTCCTAGGAAAACAGCCTGCCTGGTTTGCTCAGCTCTGCCCCTGAGCTCCAATTGTCAGAGCTTCTGTCTGCACAGGATGAGCTGCCTCCAGCAGTGGCACCTGTGGGCACTGGAGACACTGGTGTCTCCTCTGTGGGTCTGTTGCTGCTCCTGATAGTGGGTGTTACATTGGCAGGCACCTTGCTGGGCACCAAGGTTGTAGGCAACCTGTGTTCAGCCACCAAGCCAACCTTGGTACCTTCCTTGGGTGGTGCTGGGCCAGCATAGGCAGTTTGGATGGTTGATAGGCTAGACTGGTGGGCACATTAGTGGGCATTATACCGGGAGGCTTCGACCTGTTGGGCAAGTTGGAAGGCACTGTGCTGCTAAATGCTGAGTAGAGGGGCACCCCGGAGTGTGGTGTGCTGGTAGTCATAGAGTTGTGGGCACCCCAACCCCACTGCAGCAGATGGTAGCCTCAGCCTACCAGTACCCCCTGCAGAGGAGGAAGAGGTGCCAATAGACAGAGCTGATATGGGGGGTCCAGAAAAGCAGCTTGCCCTGGGGGTGGAACAGGCCAGGGGCTGGAAGGAAACAGTCGAAGATACAGGCCCGTGAGATGATGTAAGGCAGGAGACCAGACTGCAGTTGGCAAAATTTCTATGTGGGTACTACCCAGTTCTGTGTCCTGCTCCTCAGGCCCACCGGAGGACAGAGGGCTGAGGGCTGCCACATCAGAGGAGGGCTGTAGGGGGCCTCCTCAGGACAGTCAGAACTGGATATGTGTAAGGCCCTGAACACACCATGGCACTTCACATTTCTCTGACTTTGCATGTACTGCTTTCTCCTCCAACACTATCCACATTACTATATTCATGTAATACATAAAGCTTTTCATCTATGTTTCCCTAATGGCTAATGTAGAATTTTGAACATACTATATACTTTCTACATTGTATATTTATTTTATGAAATGTGAATGAACCTAACAATGCAGAATTTGGTGAAGAAAAAAAGATTTAACAGCTTACAGATTACCAAACCTTCTGAGGGAAAGACTGAACTAAGCAATAAGTACTCTGAACACTATTTACTATTTTTAGTAAAAACTAAAAAGAAATAAATTAAAATTGTGCTTCTTTGTTGGATATTATGCAAATAGCATATCCTCACTTACCATTCATGTACATCAAGTGGCCAAATGAAGGCTCACTGAGTATTGGAAATACTGATATGCAGACACAGACACACGTCACCAGACAATGCTGTAACACACGTATGTGTGAAAAACTGTGGACACACAGGGGAAGACACAGCTACCTCTGCTTGTGGAAACAGTTAATGCTTTAAAAAATGAGATATACATACACACATGCATACATATACATATACATGTATGAATGAGACACTGGAATTAGTTACTATAGAATGAGTAACATTTACTTGTGAGAAGTAAAAGAAAGACATTCTAAGCAAATGGAGGAGCATCACCAACGATGCAGGAAGAGGTCATGCCATGACAGTCATGCCATGTTTGGGAAACACAGGCATGTCATGATGAGAGAGCCAGAGTGAAGGGCAGGGGCACAGCAGGTGAATGAAGGCAGTGATCCCCTACAAAACTCCTGAGACAAGCAAAGACAGTAGTACTGAGGATATGCCTTTGGACAGCAGAATAATGCCATTAGGCCCCCAGAGATATTTGGTACTCAGCACTGTCTTTTGAATGAATGAATGCTCCCAGTTTGTGTGTTAATCTAACTGGTATTCAACTCTCTTTCTTCCAAACCATCTCATTTCTACTACCACGTTGTATAATGGCTCTACATTATGCTTAACATGGCATTCTTGTAACTTCTGCCCAGTAACTGTTACACTGTACCAGCTGGAATGCCTTTAGCGCAACAACACATGGACCCTACAACATTCAGCCTGTCATGTCTCTTTTATGTCTTAACTTCTGCTAGGACATAGAAGACAAATTGTAGAGTATTCCTCAGAGAACCCACATCCAGATGACACTTCAGTCTTCACAATTTGGGCTCTCTGACTAGCATCTCCACTTCCAACGTTTGGCTCTAGGAGCCTAAAAGACACCAGAAAGCTAACGTTCGCATGACGGTGTGCCACACATTATCAAAACTTCTAAGTATCACCAGGTTCATAATTCAGAAAGAGCTGATTCACCCCTAAAGATACATTTTAGAAATTCAGTAATATATATTTAATAATGAAAATATTCCACCTATGTAAATTTTCCATGTGATTAGAGCTTGCCCGTTTAAATAAAACTCCAATTTTGATATATTAATGATAAAAATAAATCTTTCCAAAATACATAAATTTCCTCAACTTCTTAAATAGGTGATACTAAACCTTTGCTTGATGTCTCAGAGGCATAAATTATTAATCACTGATTTGGGTGCCATCCACTCTATTAATTGTGGCAAGACTCTTTAATACCTGTACCACATTTTACAGCTTTTCCTACATTCTGTCTTGCCTTTCAACAATCATTTCTGAAAATTATTTGCATGCTATGTCTAACAATGTTAGTCAGCTACAGATAGGAAGGTTAGATTAAAAATATTTTATTAAAACAACATCACTCATTTTTAAAAAAGAAGTAAAATAGGCTTAGAATGAGTGCCTGAGTGATACTCCATGAATAGAATACATGATCTCTTTAGCTCAAGGTGATACTATTTCTGGATGTTAAGAGACTCCACCTCTATTTTTTCTAAACTATTTTCAAGGGGATTGAGGTTGTTAGGTAGATAACTTCCACAAAAGTGGAAGTTTGCTGTTGTTAGCAAACAAAACACTAAAAATAGTCAGCTACATTCATTACCCTTAATCATTCCAAATTCTCACCCACTTAAAAAAAACCCACACACATTTTACCTAATATTAAAAACAGTAAGTTCTTTACTCTTATATTCAGTTATCTGCAATCCTTTCTCAGATTTCCTACAGCTAAAAACTTAACTTGATACTTATGGTATCCCTGTAATACCAAATGTCCTTTGAATTAAAAAGAAAGTTCTTATCTAAGTGACCCAGGTGAGATTGTCCCTTCTGATTTTGAGGGCTACAAATCAGAACAGTTAACCCACACTTCTGAAAGGAAAACAATTAGTAAAATGCTAAGCAGAGTTCCAAGAATCAGTTAGACCTCTATGTTAGCACTGCTCCAGCAAGTTTCACCAACATCCGTTTTCCCTACCACCCCAGAGAATGTCCAGTTTAATTTTTTTCCCAGTGAAGTTTATCCGATGTCCCCTCAAGATAAATTAGTCATTGCACTCTTTTTGCCAATAAAATCTATCATAGACACTTCCTGGGGTAGATATCGTATCTTACCTTTTTGTCTCCTTGACCTAGCAAAATACCTGGCAACACGTTACACTATTAATATGTTAAATAACTGAGTGTTTGGTGAGATCATTTCCTTATATGAGTAACTGCCTCACAGAGAAAAAGTTGAGTCTGATATTTTTGTCTTTCCTAATATAAAAATTTTCATCCTTTTGTTAAGATTTATAAAAAAAGGGGGAAAAAGCTATGTTTCTCTTTTTTTAGAACACTGCAGTAATTTTCAAGGGAAAGATATATCAGGATCATCAGAGGAACTTTTTCCAGCCTAAAAATGGACAACACCTCCCCTCACTGGACCCCACTCCCAGCCTTAGACATGCACCAGTTGTACACACCACTGAGAAACATTGGGTGTGTGTCACTCTGTCATCTCAGATCTGGAGAGTCAGAAGACTGGTAGACCCAGGTTCTAATGCTGTCTATTTTCCCAAGACAGTAACTGCTCACATGCAAAATCCTCTTTCTGTGTAAGAGCAAAGCATTTTAACCAAAAGCATTTTAATACATTCATTACTAAAGCATTACCTATATAATTAAGATACAGCTTAAATGTTGAAATAAAATGTCATTCACATACTTCAAATTTCATAACAAAATTTATGCACAGATACCAACTTAAACTTTTATACTTGTTTACAGATTCACCAAAAGATAGCTGCAAACAGTAAAAGAAACCAAGCCAATTTCCCAGGAGCCTCTTCTCCTTACTGAATTTTCTTTAAAGCATGCATAATTAAAGCAATCAATCCCATATTCCCTTGTAGCATAAAAAGGTATACGACACCAAGCCAAGGAAAAACAAAGCTATTTTGAGCATCCCATAACCAAGCTGCTAAAACAAAATATACAGGACCCACAGTAGCACTGGCGTCATTAAGAAGTTCCTGTCCTCTTGTTTCATTTTCAGCGTGCACTTTCTGGTAATGCTCCGACAAATCAATAGAAGTTATACATCTTTTCATACATAATGGACAGATGAAACCCTGTGAAATAACAACTTTCAGGATGATTTACATAAAAGTTATTTATAAAATAAAATACAGACAATGTAAATAGACATGACAAGAAAACAATTAGTATTATCTCTTCTTAGAATATGTAAAGGAAAGTTTGGGGTAGTTATGTCATAAAATATGGAAAATCAATACAAAGTAAAATTGCTAAAATTAATCCCCATCTTATGCTATAAAGTGCCATTGGTTCATTTTTTAAATTATAATAACCCAGTGTTTATTATTAATTGGATTATTATTTTTGTTTATGACTCTTTATCCTTACTTGAGAGCTATTATTAGCAAGTTAGCTTTTACTTTCATCAAGAAATGTCTAGTAAGTATAACAAATACCTTTGTGTGATACAATATACTAAACAAAATTTCTTATAATGAAAGCAATTTTTTTAAATTTTATTGATTATGCCATTACAGTTGTTCTATTCCCCCCCTTCATTTCCCTCCATCCTGCATCCTCCACCCCCACCATTCCCCTCTTTAGTCTATGACCATGTGTCTCAAGTTTTTAGATACTATGTTTCCCATACTATTCTTGCCCTCCCCCTATTTTCTACCTACTGTCTATGCTACTTATTTTCTGTACCTTCTCCCACCTTCTCCTCCTCCCACCCCCCTGTTGCTAACCCTCCATGAGATCTTCATTTCTATGGTTCCGCTCCTGATCTAGCTGTCCTCTTGGTTTGCTTTTGTTTTAGGTGTGGTTCTTAATAACTGTGAGTTTGCTGTCCTTTCACTGTTCATATTTTTTATCTTCTTTTTCTTAGATAAGTCCCTTTAACATTTCACATAATAAAGGCTTGGTGATGATGAACTCCTTGAACCTGACCTTATCTGAGAAGCACTTTATCTGTCCTTCCATTCTAAATGAAAACTTTTCTGGATAGATCAATCTTGGATGTAGGTCTTTGGATTTCATGACTTAGAATACTTCTTTCCAGCCCCTTCTTGCCTGTAAGGTCTCTTTTGAGAAATCTGCTGACAGTCTGATGGGAACTCCTTTGTATGTGACTGTCCCCTTATCTCTTGCTGCTTCTAGGATTCTCTCCTTCATTTTAATCTTGGCCAATGTAATTATGATGTGCCTTGGTGTGTTCCTTCTTGGGTCCAACTTCTTTGGGACTGTCTGAGCTTCCTGGATTTCCTGGAAGTCTATTACCTTTGCCAGATTAGGGAAATTCACCTTTATTATTTGTTCAAATAAGTTTTCCACTGGTGGATGTTCCTTTCCCCCTTCTGGTACCCCTATAATTTGGATGTTGGAGCATTTAAAGATGTCCTGGAGGTTCCTAAGTCTCTTCTGATTTTTTTGAATTCTCGTTTCTTCATATTTTCCTGTTTGACCATTTTTTTCTTCCTGCTGGTTCACTCCCTTGATTTGAGTCCCAGTTTCCTCTTCATCACTATTGGTTTCCTGTGCAATTCCCTTCATTTCAATTAGTTTAGCCTTCATATGTTCCTCTAATTTGTGACTAAAATCAACCAGTTCTGTGAGCATCCTGATCAGCAATATTTTGAACTGTGCATCTGAAAATTTGGCTATTTCTTCGTCACTTAGAGTTATGGGCTCTGGGGCTTTGAGATCTTCTTGAGCCATTTTTGGTCTGTTCGTGCCCGTTAAGTATGAGGAGCGGAGCCTTAGATGTTCACCAGGGCCCAGGGTTGTGACGCTGTATGTGGGGGCGGGGTCAGAGCAGGGAAATGGCTTCTTCTGCTGCCTCTCACCACTGGGGCCTGCTCGGTCCCATCTCACCACCCACTCCCTTGCCAGTCTATCTGTGCATGAATGCACAGTCCACAGTCAACCCGCCACCCTGCGCCCTCACTGGGTCCGCGGGTCACTCACTGGGTCCGCCCATTGCAACCCCAAACCTGGGATCCGCGTGCCTGCATCCATCTGACAGAGTTTTCCTGTGCAACTCTGCTCTGCTGGCTGCTGGCTTCACCCCTCTTACTGGTCAGGCTGAAGAATTTGTTGTTATCAGACTTCCAAAAAGTTCAATTTTCTGTGTTCTGGCTGTGTTTTCTGTTGCTAATATTTTGTTGTCTCTAAACTTGGTTGTGTGAGAAAGCATGGCATCTCCACCTATGCCTCCATCTTGGTGGAAGTTAATGAAAGCAATTTTTAGTCTTCATCATATCCCCATATTCTGAGATACCTGTCTTGCCCACACCCATAGTTGTCTGTAGGTGGCCCTTCATTTTACTTTTCTGAGTCAAATAATACCATTTGAAAAAAATCTTTCCAATTCCCTATACCTAACAAAATCTGTATTTTAAAATGTGAACTGTTACACTGAGCTATGGTTTAGAAGTTTGTCAAGAATAGTAGAAGACAAGAGACTAGAAAAATTAGCAGTATCAAGGGAAAATTAAACAAAATGAGGACAGTGGTGAAGAAAAACAGGTCATAAAGTTATAATGCCATGACTTTAAAGTAGAAGAAGCAGAAAGCCTAAACAGACCAATAACAGCTGACAAAATCAAAGCTTTAATCAAAACACTCCCAGCACACAAAAGCCCTGGACTGGATGGTTTCACAGGAGAATTTTACAAAACATTTAAGGAAGAGTGAACCCCTAACCTGCACAGACTATTCCAAAACATCCAAGAAGAAGGAAGACTCCCAAACTCTTTTTATGAAGCCAATATCATCCTAATCCCAAAACCAGACAAAGATACAATGAAGAAAGAAAACTACAGGCTGACATTGGTGGTAAATATAGATGCAAAATCCTCAACAAAATATTGGCAAACCACACCTAGCAATACATTAAAAAGATCATATACCATAATCAAATGAGATTCATCCCAAGGATGCAAGTATGATACAATATTCACAAATCAATAAACATAATACATTACACAAACAAAAGGAAAGACAGAAATCACATGATCATATCAATAGAGGTAGAAAAAGATTTGATAAGGTTCAGCACCCATTTATGATAAAAACACTCAGAAAGTGGGAATAGAGGGAGCATTCAACATAATAAAGACCATATATGAAAGACCCATAGCCAACATCATACTCAGCAGCCAAAAATTGAAAGCTTTCCCACTAAGATCAGAAACAACAGAAGGATGTCCACTTACTTTTACCACTTCTATTCAAAATAACATTAGAAGTCTTAGCCACAGCAATCAGACAAGAAAAAGAAATAAAAGACATCCAAATTGGAAAGGAAGAAGTAAAATTGTTATTATCTGCAAATGGCATGATAGTATACATAGAAAATCCTATAGACTCCACCAAAAAAACTACTCAACCTAATAAATGACTTTGGCAAAACGGTGGGATACAAAGTCAATATCCAGAAATTAAAGGCATTTTTGTATACCAACAATGAAACAACAGAAGCAGAAATCAAGAAAAAAATTCCATTCAATATAGCAAAAACAAAAATAAAATATCTGGGAATAAACCTAACCAAGGAGGTAAATAACCTGTATGCAGAAAACTACACAACACTGAAGAAAGAAATCAAAGAAGACACAAACAAATGGAAACATATACCATGTTCATGGATTGGAAGAATTAACATCATCAAAATGTCCATACTACCCAAAGCAACTTATAGATCAATGCAATTCCTATTAAAATACCAATGACATATTTCACAGATATAGAACAAACAATTCAAAAATTTATATGGAACCATAAACAACCTCAAAGAGCCGCAGCAATTTTGAGAAAGAAGAACAAAGCAGGAGCGATCACAATACCTGATATCAAACTGTATTATAAGGCCACTGTAATCAAAACAGCCTGGTACTGGCATAAGATAAGACACATTAAACAATGGAACAGATTAGACAGCCCAGAAATAAACCCAAATCTCTATGGCTAATTAATATTTAACAAAGGGGTAGAAACATAAAATGGAGTAAAAATACCCTCTTCAACAAATGGTGTTGGAAGATCTGGACAGCTACGTGCAAAAAAATGAAACTCAACCACCTACTTATACCAAATATAAAAATGAACTCAAGATGGATAAAAGACAAATATAAATCACAACACCGTGGAAGTCCCAGAAAAGAACATAGGCAGGAAAATCTCAGATATTCCATACAGCAATATTTTCACCGATACATCCCCTAGAGCAAGGGACATAAAGGAAAGAATAAACAAATGGGATCTCATCAAAATAAAAAGGTTCTGCATGGATAAAGGAAATAGCACTAAAATGAAAAGAGAAACAATCATATGGGAAAATATATTTGCAAATGATACCAGAGACAAGGGTTTGAACTCCAAAATTTATAAAGAACTCACATGACTCCACTCTAGGAAGACAAACAACCCAACTAAAAAAATGGGAATAGAACTTGAACAGACACTTCAAGGAAAACATACAGAGAGCCCAGAGACATATAAAAGGATGCTCAGCATCACTAACATCAGAGAGATACAAAATAAAACCACAATGAGATACCACATCACAACCATCAGAATGGCCATCATAATAACCAAATCAATAAAAAAGAAGTGCTGGCGAGGTTTTGGAGAAAAGGGAACTCTAGTACATTGCTGGTGGGAATGCAGACTAGTGCAGTCACTGTGGAAAACAGTATGGAATTTCTTAAGAAAACTAAAAATGGAAGTGCTTTTGACCTGGCAATTCCACTGCTGGGCCTACACCCTAAGAATCCTGAAACACCAATTCAAAAGAGCCTATGCGCCCCAATGTTCATAGCAACACATTTACAATAGCCAAGTGCTGGAAGCAACCTAAGTACCCATCAGTAAATTAATAGATCAAAAACTATGGTACATTTACATGATGAAATACTATGCAGCAGAAAAAAAGGAGCTCCTACCCTTCAGGACAGCATGTATGGATCTGGAGAGCACTGTGCTAAGTGAAATTAGAGAGACGGAAAAAGACAAATACCATATGATCTCACCTATACGTGGAAACTAATCTATAAAACAAATAAGCAAGCAAAATATAACCAAAGACATTGCA